GCTCACATGGTGAGCCGGAAGCAGAGAAACAGGTAGGTCTCTACTTGCCAGATACAAATATATTTTACAAAGTCACACCCCCAATTCCCACCTCTTCCAGCCACACCCTAACACTTCAGTGACCACTCAGTTAATCCCTATCAGGGGACTATTCCCTGAATGGGTTAAAACTCTAACAACCCAATGATTTCTCCTCTTGCATTGTCTCACATGTGAACTTTTTGGGGACACATCCAAATATGCACACTGTACAAATTTGTACACTGTACAAATTTACAATGTAATCTGAAAGATTTAATTTTCTCTTTGTATATGTGGAGTAGAAAAAGTATCTGTTCCTATTGGAGTCTTCCTTTGTAAAGTACTAGTTATAGCTCATCAGAGTTATTATCAATTGTAACCGACTTGCCATTAGCTGTAATTACAATTACATTAGTGAACATTATCCACAGTTTCATTTGTACATGAAATTGCCAAATATATTTTTAATATGCTTCTGAGGAAAATGACTCTAATATGCATCTAGACTAAATATGATAGAGTAACATGCTAGGAGATGAACAATGAAGATTCTCTACTACTTGGCTTTAAAATTAATCACAGCTAAGTTTAACATCTGAGATATCAAAATTCTTAAGTAAATAATTAAACCTTTCATCATTTTTAAGAAGTTGATTGCAGTATTGGAATATAGAACATAAAAATAGTAGTGCATGCATTCCTACTTAATTTTTATTTCTGTTTGTTTAAATATTTCTAATTAGTGCATTCTCATGGCTATGACTTTCAATCTTAAGAAGGCTATTAGGAGGTAGTAGAAGTGTTAAAATTAATCTATGTTTCTTTCTTTATCCAGTGAAGTTCTTTCATCCCACTCAATAAAATCAGTGTGACCCTTACAACAATGACACATACTCTTTTGTATTTTGAGATAGAAAAAAATAGGTTAAAGGCAAATTCCATCAACTAACCGTTGCTTTCTCCAAATGTCTTTGGGTACCTGTGGTTCTACACAACTAGGTTACAATACTTCCAAAGTCCTCAACTTGTGTGTAATAGTCTATTAGCTACTAAATTCCATGTACATTTGAAATAATATTGTACCATCTATTTTCCATGATTATTAATCAAAACAAGCTTTCTCATGAGTGAAAGTCTATATTCAGTAAGCTGATGAAACTAGCAGATCTTAATTAATTTTACATTGTGATTATGATGCCATGTAAAATATTTATTTTATATACAATGATGTAGAAGTCTCATTTTTTTAATACTCAAATTTTTCAAATGCCAATTCATACACTATTGACTTAGCACAAATAGAGATAAAATATTTATGTTGAAATTCAATGAGTGAATATTTACAGTTTATAAAATGAAGGCTATATGCTGGTATTTAGAATATATAAAATTGAAAGAAGTCGTCAATATTCATGATTGCTGTCTGGCTTATATATTAAAAGAAATATGCATGGTTTATTGTGCATTTTCTTTTTAATATTCTGTCTTTAAAAACACTGGGATCTTGGAGGAATCCAGGAACTGTATCTTCTTCCTGACCAAATTCTGACTACGTTGAAAAATAAAATAAAGATTTATAGGTCAAAACGAGAATATCACTTCAATATGGATACAGACTAATTAGAGGATATAGCTCAGTATGGGGGCTTGTAGGTAAAACGAGGCTGGGCAAATTTCTCTGAGAGGTACAGTTGCCTCTGGTGGAGGTGAGTAGAGTGAAAGCCTGCTCTCCACATCCAGCCAACTCCAAAGCAGAATAAAGGTCATCATCTCTAGCAACTGTCATGATGCTATTGATCTGGACAGTACTGCTTCACCTCTATAACAATCTGCAAGGACCACTAAAGACAGTTTTTTTTTTATTTTATTTTTTGGGATCAGTAGTTACACATTCATGATTTTGTCTCAGATCAAACCAGTTTTTTTGCTCTCTGCCCCAAGATCAACTGAGATTTTTGAGTATCTTAACATCTCACAGAACATCACACTCACCTATGTACTGATAATTTTATATTGACTTGACCTCAACAGGAAGAAACTATTTCCTTAGACTCCTTAGTAAGATGTAGGTGCACCAGTGGTGGAGGACCTTACAGCAGGTATTATTCAGCATCCTGTCAGGGAAAGAGAAATCACTCCTTACAACTTAATGTAAGGAACTGATTAAACAGAAGTTGATGAACTGAAAAACTAAAATGGGTCCATTGAATTAACACAGTAATAGATGCTTCCAGAATCAACTGTCAACCCTTTTCAGGATGCTGAGGATATAAGAACCCAGGACGTGGGTCTTTAAAGCCCTATAGACTCAGACTCCTGAGGAAAGGGAGGCTATACTGAAGCAGGCCAGCGACCCCCACCCAGAAGACTCCATAATTAAGCTTCTCCTCTCCTTAGAAAGATTTTTACAGAGTATCAGCAGACAGGATGTCTGCAGAAGGCAGTGTGGTTTGAAGCTTCCTCTTTCTTGTAAATGCCAGGTTTGCACATAAAAGGTGTGATAGAGTAGAGTCTTCAAACTTGTTGTACATAAAGATATTATCTCTGGTTTCTTGGTTAAAAAAAAAAAAAAACTTGTGAAACCTGTATCTTGTCTAGGGGATGGAAAAGAGAGCACTTGTCATGTGAATCTCCAAGTCTCCCCACCCTTTGAACACTGGGTATAAAGTTCAAAGAATTCCCAAAATCTCTGTCCAGAGAATGTCTCAGCCATGAGCCACACTTTGGACCTGCTGGCTGAAGCCAATTAATGTGCTTCCTACTAATTCCTCAGGTGCCCAGTTTATTCTGCCCCACATCAATAAGACTGGTGCTGAACTTAAGGAGCTCAGAGGAACTGATCCAGAGTAAAATCCAGGTCTCAGACTTTTAAAGAGGGCAGCTGCTCAGTGGTTGCTAAAATATCTGAGGGTGTATGATGAAACCTGCTAGGAGTGCTAAAAAAAGTTGGAGAATGGAACCAGCTGCCAGTACCAGGTGAAGTTTTGTTGCTGTGGCGACACAGAAATGAACAGCAAGCAAAAGGGAAACAGCAAAGCTTTTTCCCTTCCTCTGCCCTCCTGCTCTCTCTAGTCCCATTAATTGGCAGAATTTACCAAATGCCTAGGAAAGGAGAAATCACTTTGCAGAGTTCCAGCTTCAGCATCAAAGAGCATTAAAGGGTTTTAACAAAAATATATTTAACAATTACACTGACTGCACAAAGAAGTTCTAACTGCATAGCAAACTGTTCACAGCCTCAATCTATAGCCCTACTCTGCCTCTCTAGTAATTATCAGCTAGATGTCTGGTTAGTCTTCATGCAAATGCTTAATCACTTTCTCTAACTCCTAGTGGATTGCACATAAAAACTCTCACATCTCTATGCCTTTGCTCACACTAGTCATTCTGCATGGAATTGTCCCCTCCTATCTTATCTAACTGATTTCCATGATCATCTTAGAAACAATGATTTATACTCAATGAGCACATGGTGCTGTGTATTGCTCCAGACCCTTTATGTATTCAACTTATTTAATCCTCCTAAAAAGACTATAAGATTTACCTATTTATTTCCATATTTTAAAAATAAAAATGGTTGTCAAAAGATACATAGCTAATAAAAGTGGAATCAGCACTCCATAGCTTGTGTCTTAACCACAAAATATTGCCTTACAAGATCTAATTTTCAAACTCCTCTAAAAGACTTCCTAGATTCCCCCTGGCCAATTATTTGATACATTCTTGTTCCTAACATATTTTTGACATGATAGAGTAATATTTCCATTTGGATTTATATCTCTGTATCTTTTACAAATATTCTAGTGTAAAGCTGTCCAATAGAACTTTCTGCAGCAATGGAAAAGGGCCATCGATCTCTGTGTGTCCAGTATGAGAGCCACTAGTCACATATTGCTCTTGAGCAGTTAAAATGTAGCCAGTACTACTGAATTTACTGAATTTAAACTGATAAACTTAAGTTTAAATAGTCATATGTGGCTAGTGACTACCATATTGAATAGTACATAGTTCAGATTATTTCCTCAAAAAAAGTTCATTGAATGAATGAATCATTTATGATAAATTTTAGTGGACAAAGGAAAACATTTGGAGAACATCATTTAAGTTTTTATTTTTAACCATACATAAACTCATATTATTTAATTTATAATAAACATGTATATGAATAAATAATCAATAAAATATCATATAGTACCACCATCAAGATCCATCCTGGTTATGTGATCTGTATCCACATTCCACATAAAATGTGTTTTCATTATAAAAATTCTTAAAGGAAATTTAATAACTTTGTATAAATATTTAATTTATAGTTGCCTATGCTCACTCTGCTTTTTTTTTCCCCCTTGAATTGGTTCAGTGAAAAAGTCCAGTGACTAAAGCAGTTCCCAGACACAGTAGGGACTCAATGAATATTTATTGAATGAATGAACGAATCAAGCATACTAGGGCATCGTGATGACGTGTAAAAATCTAACCTTCAAATCATTTCCCAATATTATGTAATTTTTATGAATGCTTGATGTGAAAATTAACAAAACAGGTAGGCTGTATTTTGAAATTTTTTCCCTTGGCATTTTGAAACAAAACTCCTATTACTTCTGACTTCCGAACAGAAACTAGTCTGTTCTCTCACATCCCTCTTCAAAATGCTTGATTGAATATAGGCCTCTGGCTGGGCAGAAACCACAATATTTAAAATATAAAATTTAGGAGAGGAAAGAAAAGAAAAAATAAAGCTTTTAAATTGATTGCAACTGAAACCAACTAAAATCGAGATTGAAACCTCTGCCCAAGGTTTAGAGTCCCCCAGATTGTCCAAGGCCAAGGGGGCCGGGGATTTCCGACCCTAAACTAGACCTTTGTGCCCTTAAACTCCAAGAAACAGTAGGCTCAGGGCAGGGACCTGGGCTGTTCCAGCTTGGACACCGAGGCCCCGCCCCTTCCGACCTAAGACCCACCCCGCCGCCGTGGTTGCCATGGAAACCCAGAAAGCATCATGGCTGCCGCCGGCCTGGAAGAAAAGTATCTGCCGGCGGCAGCCTCAGCCAAATCCCTGTCACTTTCGCCACGGCAAGCAGCTCCCAAGCGAGGGAACCCCAAGAAGTGTTTAGTCTATCCGCATCCCCCGAGGAGCTCCCACCTGTCTCGTTCGGTTCTGCGTTGGCTCCAGGGCCTGAATCTCAGCTTCTTCCCCAGGAACGTCCACAGGTGCTGGAGCAAGCCAGGCCCAGGCCCCCGAAGAGGGCACATTCTGCCTGAAGGGCCCAGGATCTGCACCCCCTCTTTTTTGACCTGTTGGGTCTCAGCACAGGGCACCCTGGCCTGATTTATGTTCAATTCAAGACCCTCCTCTCCTACCATCCCCACTCAGCACCCTCGCACACACAGGAAAACATTTAGGAGCTAGGTTTAAGGAAAACATGATGAAGCATTTCCTTGGTTTGCTTATACAACCAATTGATTGTAGGTTTAAGCTAACGTGGAATTAACATTGGTACTATGAAAATACTAAAATAGTCAAGACTCAATTTTCAAGGACAATAAGCGTTATACTAGTGAGGTTAAGTTTTCCTTCCTTTAGAGATGGCTTTTAGTGTGGTCAGGGATTTTAAAATGTTGCTGCTTAACTGTCATCATCCTGAATATAACTGGCAGTTAATATTTGCTTTGGTAATGCAAATTAAATTCCATAAAAATTAAGACCCTGAATCTTTTGCAGGAAGGTCTCTGGTTTACTTATTTGGTATTTTTTTACAAGATGCATCTGAAACTTTGAATGTGCATATGAATCAACTGGGGATCTTGTTGAAATGAAGATGCAATACAAATTTATAATTTGGGTTCATTAAAAGAACATCAAACTCTTTGATTTGTACATAATCTTAGAAAAATGCTATTACGTCGTAGGTCTCCTCAGAGCACTAATGGAACAAGACAGATTTTACAACATATTTTCTATCTGTAATATTAGTATTAATTATAAAATAATACAAACTTAACTATATTTCATTTCCTTATTGCTATGGATTAGAGATTTTTCAAATGGCTTCCTGATTGCAGAAATATTAAGTATATATTACCCCTGGGACCTTAAATTGTCATCCTTTGAAAATGGAACCTCTTTAAAAGTCAAGTTGGATAACTGGGCACAAATAGAAAAGGTAATTTAGCAATTTTTATAGTTAAGTAGTTTGTTTTTAAAGGTGCACTTCCAATGTCATAGATATCTGTGTGTGTGTGAGAGACAGAGACTGTGCTATGATCCAATGTTGCTGAGTTGACTACCTATTTCATATATCAAAAACTTGATTAAACTTTAGTCATTTATGTCATGAGTCACCTGTGAAATTGAGCATGCTCAACTTCACTGAGTGGGGATATATTGGATGTTTTTCTTGCTTGAATAATAATGTTATCTTTTGATAATTAAAATGCTATACATCAGAAAGTTAGACAAAAGAAATTAAAATGAATTCATAATAGTTGAGGATTTTTGTAAAATTTTTTATGACTAAAATATTTTCTTTCTATTATTAAAGTTTCTGGCCAAAAAAAATTTTAAGTTACCCAAAGAACTAATCCATGGAACAATCCATTGTAAATCTGGAGTACCCGAAATATTGATACAAGAGGTTTATACTTTATTAACACATCGAGAGTAAGTTATTTGAAATTTTCTAGTAGTATAATCAATGTGAATTTTTTTGTGATATAAATCTCATTACTAACATGTGACTTGTTAATAATATTTTCTTATTTCAGAATTAAAAGTATCCAGGAGGACTTCGTGAACTTCACAGACTATAGTTACCAAATGAATTTACCCCTGGTTCCCAGGACTACGGCTTCAAGGTCTATTAAGGATAACATTAGGTTATCAGAATTAAAAAGCAATCCCAACATTCTCAACAATGAACTTAAAGTAGAGTTCCTCTTTCTTTTACACATGTTGCAAAGAAAATTAAGCAGAAAATTGAATCCAAGTAAGTTTTCTTTGGAAATAGCTGAGGTTTTCCAAACTCACTGAGGCTATTCTTGAGCACAGATGAAAGAAAGTCTGCTTTGGCCCCATTTCTGTCACTAACTAAATGGGAAAAGATCTCTCTTATGTTATCAGTAGAATTATTAGTTATCATTGAAGTGGCCTATAATTATTCTTTTGAGGAAAGCACAGGTTAACATAGGGTTCTTTTCAATCTACTCATTTAAGCCTTTATGGGAAAAAAGTTCCCATATTAACTTAAAGAGGATGGGAATGTTTAACAGTTAACGTGGATATACCTACTTTGGGGAAAGCCTGGGTTACCATCATTCACTCTAGATGCAGTCTAGAGTGTGGGCTGTGTTATTCTTTCTATACCAGCCTGGTTGTTATGTGGGTGGTGGGGTAGACCAGGGTGACTCATGGCCACTTTCCAAAGGTATGACTGAAATAACTGTCAAAGCATCCAAAGCACTTGCTTTGATTGTAGGAATTGTAGGCAGGTGGCAAAAAAGTAAGTGAACTTTCAGTATCACTTTCCTTTTCTCTTTTTCTTTTTGTTTCTCTAGCTTTATTCAGGACACCACTTATATTGATTCTAAACACTTAGAAAAATAATCATTTCCATTCAGGAAATGAAGCAGATGTAGGCTATTGGGATTTCTTTCCCCTTTGAACTCCAATTTCTGGGGGAAAAAAAGTTTTATCTCGTGTCTCTGAAAGGAAAGGAAAACTTTAACTTCTCTGTCAGGTATTTTAGTCACAGTGATGAAAAGCTGATTAACACAGTAACCTTACACAGTTTAAGAAATGGAATATCACTAATACTTCTACATTTCTCTGCATGTCCTCTGAATGTACTCATCACACCACCTTCCAAGGGTAACTTCTGTCTCATGGTCTTTGTTTATAATTTCCTTGATTAAAAACTAGCTTTATCTATGTATCATATATATTTTTTTTGTCCTTGAAATTTTCAATATGTTATGTTATATTGCAAAAAAGCCTTCACAGATGTAATTGAGGTAGGGACCTTAAGAAGTATATGCCCAATCATAAGTCCTTACAAGCAGAGATTTTTCTCCAACTGGAGTTAGAAAGATGCAGCAGAAGAGAGATTTGAAGTGTGATATGCTCTCAATTTGCCATTGCTGCAATGGTGATGTGGAAGGCATCAGAGGATATGTGGCCCAGCTTCTAGGAGCAAAGAACTATCTTTGACAGCCAGTCAGCAAAGAAGCAGGGATCTCAGGCCTGCAAAAGCAAGGAAGTGCATTCTGCCAACAACCTGAATGAGCTTGCCAGCAGATTCATCCCCCAAAGATTTTAGAAAGAAATGCAGCCCTGCTGATACTTTTATTTCAGCCTTGTGAGAATCTAAACAGAGGACTTAGACTTCTGTACTGAGATAAAAAAAAAAGCTGTTTTTATAAATAACAAGAGTTATGGTAATTTGTTATGGCAAAAATTAAAAATGAATACAAACTTGGCAGTTAATACTTTTTCTGCCCTGACATTATATTTTCTTGTATTTAAACTGATAAGATGGAGCCTTTTACTTTTTAAGCTCTTAATTTATCTGCAATTCATATGAAGACCTAATTGTTTGTTTTAGCATCACTTTTTGAATAATCTATTCTTTCCCTACTGGTTTGTATGCCCTCTTGTGCTTCAAGTTTCTGTGTATGAGTCTGTTTCTTAGCCTTCTATTCAACTTTGTCTACACATATGCCACTTCAACACCCATATTGTCTTAATTATTATTATTTTATAATTAAGTGTCAACATTTCATAAAATCCCCATTTGTTCTTCTATAAAGTAGTCCTTTAGAATGAGCCTTTTCAATGTATAGCAATTCTTATTGTTCTGAATTCACTAATACTATTGTTATATTTTGCATTTATATGCAAATAAACATGGCATTTTATTTTGGAAGTTTTTATTTATTCTCTTTATTTCTTGCTTTTGTCTCATCTGTTTCCCCTTCTTTGGACTGAATGTTTTTCCAAGGACATTTCCAGTACCAATTTTGAAAATTCTCTTTTTAGTGCTACTCCAGAAATTTTAATATGCACGTTTATCTTTAAATTAGTAAAATTAATATATTTTCTCTTTTCCTCAAACTATCAGAACCTTAGACATAAGGAATTTGTTCACTTCTTGCTACATTTCACATTTTTTGTTGCCCAGCATTATAGTTCTGTCAGGTTATTTTATTATTATTATTTTTTTAGGTATAGATGGACACAACACAATGCCTTGATTTTTATGTGGTACTGAGAATCAAACCCGGGTCCTGCCCATGCTAGGCGAGCACTCTACCACTGAGCCACAATCCCAGCCCCCTGTCAGGTTATTTTTTAAAACCACAAATCAGATCTGTTATGGTTTAGATATGAAGTGTCCCCAGAAAGCTCATGTGTGACATCATGTAGGAATGTTCAGTGATAAAATGGTTAGATTATGAGACCTGTAACTTAGTCAATGGATTAATCCATTTGATGGATTAATAATTAAAAAGGACTATTGAATTGTGGTGCCTGTGGGCAGGTAGGGTGTGATGGAGGTAGTAGGTCACGGGGCACACCCTTGGACTGCAGTTTGTCTCTGGATTTTTGCTCTTTCTCTCCTTGCTTCCTGGTTGCCAGGAGATGTAGAGATTTCCTCTGCCATACTCTTCTGCCATAAAGGTCTGGCTCACCTTAGGCCCAAAGAATGGAGTTAGACAGAGACCTCTGAGCCGAAAATGAACTTTTCTTCATCATAGTTGTTCTTGTCAGGTATTTTGTTCACCTGTGGTGAACAAGTGACTAACACAGACCTTATTACTTGTTATATTCTTATATTTAAAAGTCTGTTTCTCAGTAGAGCTAAACCGTATCTCTGTTGTCTACTTTTGAATTAACCTGTTTATCCACTATCACCACAACTCTTGGATTCTTGAATAATGCTCCATCTTCAGTCTTGATTCTTGGGACTGCTGATTGTAAAAGTTTCTCCTGTTTCCAAAGTAATTAATGTTGATAATTATAGTTAGGAATGTTAGTAATCAAGGTTTTATTTGGCTCCCATAGAGCATGACCTATGATTAGAAACAACCTTAGATACCTCTTCAAGTCTCAGTGAGGGACAAACTGCAGAACAGGAAGTGACCAAATGACCTTTAGAAGCAAAGGGAAACTTCCCAAGAACTGCTATTTAGAGGATCCGTTAAAAAGTAATATGGGAAATGTGAAAATGATTTTAAGTCAGACATTTGTAGTATAAACATGTTTGCAAAATGAAATAGGTGCTGAATTATTTCATTTATGTAAGATATAAATTAGAAAAAACTATGATGATAGCAGTTGGATAGCATTTTCCTTTCAGGATTCTATCTGGGAGCAGAAACAGAGGTTTGGGGTACTGCTAATATATCATTTTTTATTTGCCACATGGTACCCCAGTTGTATTCATCCCAAAACGTCATTGGAGTGAATACGATTTATTCACTGTTTTGTATATAAGCTATTAAAAATGTATCAAAAACTAATAAGAACAAAAAGATTTTACCTTTAAATAAACTTTTTAAAGTAACTATTTTGTGCATCAAAGACTGAACAATGTGGGGATAAGAGTTATTAACCTATGTATTCCCACTACTTGTAGGATTATGATAAAACAGATGTTCAAATAATTTGGTTATCTTTTAAATTATGATGTCTTAGTTTGAGAATGGGCATTGTGAGTTTTTAAAAAATAACTTTTATGTTTACATTTTATAGCATGGTTTGATGTCAAACCAACAGTGGGAGAAATTACTCTTGGTCATCTTCCTTCCCGAGGCTCTGGGCACAGATATAATTCAAAGGTTTCAAGGCAAAGGTTTCACAACAAAGTTGCTCTTGTTTCATGTAAGTTTTTGCTCTAACTTTTTGTTTGTTAAAATGGATTTTTTGTTTTAATTTGTTTAATAAAGTTTTTTTTTTAAAGAGAGTGAGGGGGGGAGAGAGAGAGAGAGAGAGAATTTTTTTTTAATATTCATTTTTTAGTTCTCGGCGGACACAACATCTTTGTTGGTATGTGGTGCTGAGGATCGAACCCGGGTCGCAAGCATGCCAGGCGAGCGCACTACCGCTTGAGCCACATCCCCAGCCCTAATAAAGTTTTAATATAGTTAAAGTATTGTTCTAGGCCAGCATTCAATCTAAAATTATGCATTAAATTTTTATGCTGATTGCTTTTTGATAGGTAGGGGAGCATCTAGTCCATCACAATTCTTCCTGCTACTATTGGATTTGAGTTTTCATTTATGCTTAGGGAGATGAGCTTGAAAAAAATGAAGCTTGTTGGCAGAGCTCAAAACTCAATTCTTCCCCAGATGGAGGATAAGTCAGTCCTAAGACATACACAGATACTTGCTGACCAGTGGTATTTAAGCAAAAAGCCATTTGCTTAAACCCTGTTAATTTAGAAAGCATTTATCTTATAACAAACCACAGCCCATGAGTCAAATTCAGCCCATGACCTGCTTTTGCATAGCCCTCAAGAATGATTTCTACATTTTTAATTATAAAAAAATATATCAAAATAATATTGCTATGGTTTGGATGTGAGGTTTCCCGCAAAAGTTCACATGTGAGACAATGCAAGAAGGTTCAGAGGGGAAAAGATTGGGGTATAGCCTTAACTATAAATTAATCCCTGATGGGATTAACTCCATGGGAACTGGAGGCAGGTGGAATGTGGCTGAAGGAAATGGCTCATTGGGGCATGGCTATGAGGTATATATTTGTGTTTGGCAAGCCAAGATCTGTCTTTCTGCTTCCGGATCACCATGTGAGCTGCTTCCCTCAGCCACACTTTTTCATCGTGATTTTCTGCCTTACCTCGATCCCCAAGGCAAGGAACTGGCCTTCTATGAATTAAGACTTCTAAAATGGTGAGCCTTCAAATAAACTTTTCTTCCTTTACAATTGTGCTGGTTGGGTCTTTTAGTCACAGCAGCAAAAAAGTTGACTAAAACAGAAATGAAGTTCAAGTTTCTGTATTCACATGTAGCACAGGACATCGCCATGCATGCTAATTTTGCTTTATCTCTGGCAACATTTACAATAGCAAGGTATGGTAGTTGCCAATGAGATTTTATGGTTCTCAAAGGAGAGTTGCTAGATTTATCAAATAAAAACACAGAGAAACACAACTAAATAATTTGGAGGACATATTTAGGATATATTTTACTAAAAATTATCATTTATCTAGAATTCAGTTTAACTAGGTGTCCTGTATTTTATCTGTCAAGCCTACTACAAAGTCTAAAATATTAACTATTAGGTCCATTACAGAAACTGTGTATCTCTGCTAAAGAGCATGTTTCCTTAAGTGTTAAGAGGAATTTCACTGGGGTAGGGTTAATGCTTCTTGTTTTATATTGGCTCTGGTAGAGCAATGTCAACAGATTTTTTTTTGGACATAATTTCTTAGAGCCTTGTATATTTTAATACACACAAATATTAAATAATGAAGTGTTTTCCAAACTGTGTTATCACACATTACTATCATACAGGTTTGCTGTGTTTAATGGCTTTGTAGAAACGGTGTTCTTCAGAGCTGACTTTTTAATATCCAGACGTGATGCCAGCCCATCAAACCCCTTTTATCTCATTATGTACCTGATGCATAGAGTACTTATTATAGAATTAATGACAAGTGAATAGCAATTTTCCTATGAAAACAACATACCCGTAGTTTTTCTTTAAGATTATGGTAAGACATTCTCTTTCAACTTGCCTCAACCCTCTGTTAGTGATTTGCCATAAAAGTTTCAGTAGGGTGGGAGCAGAAGCATGGAGGAAGAGGAGTCATGATCCAAAGAGAGGCATGGGAAGGAGACTACTGGGAGAGTTCTCATGTTGTGTCTTTCATTTTCTTGCCAATTTCCCTTAATTGAATCTGACTAGGGACAGAAAGGGATTTGAGACCTATGGGGGAAAAGGTGGGAAGCTTCTAGTGGTAATGAGTCATGCCTTCCTCTGTGAGAAACGGATGTAATATACAAAAAAACATGTCTACCACTATTTGAATTGCTAAAGAATATTTCTCATTTCTGTTATCATTTTGAAGTTTTCAAAGCTTTCAAGTGTACAGAAATCTGTATGCTACCATTACTTCAGGATTTGAATGGATTTTTGCTTTTACAGTTTTAATAATGTATCTATCAACTGCTGTAAACAGCTCCTCTCCCATTTTATTCCCTCAATGTTCTCTTTTATGATACTCTGGATGCCCTTTTATGATTCTCTCTCACTCCAGCGGTCTTTTTATCTCCTTTTAAAATGAGTGATGGATTTATGGAAGGAAGCCTTCACTGGACAAGGCAGATAGGAGTGAGTGGAACAGTGAACACACTTTTTTCTTTTTTTTTGCTTCTCTCAATTCTGTTCCCTATATGTGGCCTCTTGTAGTTGACACACCTGGAATTAATGAATGGTATGAATTCAACTTTGGCAAATTTATGAGTGAGACTAATTTTGTTAAGTGTTTCTTTTTTTCTAAATTTGTTAAAGGGATTCTATTTCAGTTGTTTCTGGCCTGATTCCTTCAGGCCAGCTACCATAATTTGAAAGTTAATGGAAAGAAGAGAGGCAAAAAAATAAATTATAGGAATTTAGATTTATCATTAAATATTGCACGACACTGAAACCACAGGCTATTCATCTGAAAATCTTCTAATCAAATAGAGTGGACAAAATTAATTGTAGACTGTTACCTTTTAAAAAAATATATATGTATATATTTTAACTTAAGTTCCTCTAGTAGTTTACCTAAATTTAGTGTCTAGCAAAATTTTGGGCCAACAGAAGGTAAATTTCTTAGTTGCCCCTCATGTTAAAACTGAGTGATGAGGGACCTGGAGTCTGGGTGGCCAGTGTAATCAGAGTTCCAAAAACCATATTATGAATCATGTATATTTGCCAAATCTAACTACAAAATCGTGCCACTGTTGCCTCAGCTGCTTTCTGAAACAATATCTAAAAATAGTTGAGTCATATTCAGTATCAGATGCACCAAAATAAGCCCTGGATATTTTTAGGCACTGCTGATGGCTTTTGGAGGTGGGTGACATTCAGATATTTTTTATCCATGACTACTATAATGCATGATTTAAATATTTTGTTTGCCAGGTATTTAAATTAACCGGTGCTTAATCTAATGCCAATCATTCTGTATTTATTTACCTTTTATATATATACACAAAATATTTATATACATATTAATTGTGTAAATGTTTAATAAATGTGAATCAATTTTGTTTATTTTAATATCTCAGCAAAGACAGATAATGATGGCAATCCACATAAAGACATTCATGTAAAGCAAGCTGAAAAAGATTATTACTCTGTAATGAAACCTATCAAGAACACGGAAAAGAAACCTTGAAAGGTACTTGTCAAAATGGCGTTGAAGAAGAGATGCCACTATCTCTTTCCATAATATAGGGAAATAATCACCTGATCTTGGAGATATTTCAATAATAAATAACTTGAAGTGGTGTCCTATCTATAATTGGGGTTAAAATTTCTTTTCAATTCAACAACCACTTATTAAACGTCTCTGTCAGATACTGTTGAAAATACAAAATTAAATAAATTAGTATAGAGCAAAATATTTGATTATTTCTTACAAATTCTGTAGGAGTAATGAGTCTACTTTGTGATATTTTATTCATTAGATATTATTAAGCTTCTACTTTGCCAGATATTATACACTTACTCATCACACTCATTAATAAAAAATTATTATGAATGATTTTTTTATATGTTGGCCATAGAAATTTTTGCTTACTCCATGAGTAGCCTTACTTTAAACTATTTTCAAATACTAGGTCCCCCTGACCCTCAGTGTATAATGAGTTGTGGGGAAGGAAAATCAGATTTTTCTTAGAATTTGGCTCTGGTGTTTAGCATTCAAATTAGTTAAATTAAAAACAAAAACAATAACAAAAAACTTTTTACTGGTTGCCACCATGCCTCATATTTTTATTGAAGGGAAATAAAAGCAGATTGATATCCTGAAAGGCTAATTATCTTTCATACATTCTTGGTAATTTTATATTCATATGTGCAGAATTTTCTCCAAATGGAATTATTCATGTTCTAATGCTATCTCATTAGCAGCCTTATTTGACTTTCAAGATGAATATTACTAACATTGAATCCTACAATATGCATGTCTGTTTTTAGCCACACTTATCCATTTTTCTGCTTTTTTGAAGGTTCAGATGTTTTATAAGCATTCAACCTCTAGAGACTTTCTTGTTAAATTTTAAGTTTTTGGAAAGATAATAATTAGGAAGAGAACTTAAAGAGAGCCCTGATGATAGGTAACTTCTTGGGAATGTGTTTAGAATCCAGTTTTATCTGAGTTACGTGTTTAGCTTCAAATGGTATCCTAAACAGATGTAGGCAATTTACCTGTTGCCTTGCATTGCAATGGGACAATCTGAAGTATAATCTTATAAGATTAATACTTTTACCTGATAAAATATAGTTCTTCAGAAAAGGGCTTTCAAAAGGCTCTGATGGTTTGGGGAAAGGTCCATAGAAAAGGATTAAGTATGGATAAACAGTAATACGTTTCTTGTCTTAGTTTTGGGTTCAGTCTTCTCAAAAAACTAATTACCCATGATGTGAATATGATAAGTTCCCAAAACTCCTGTAGAACTTATGGAGATTGTGGAAAATATTAAATAGTTGGGAATGAATGAATGAAGGCAGCGAGTATGGTCAAGTGGGTAACCTCAAGCATTTCTTGAGCATGACTTGTGTCAACAAAGCCAATAACACAGGCATATCTGAGCCAGACTATTTACTTCCTAAGGGATCTTCGACAGAAGGAACCAATGAACTTTTCTAGGAGATACAACAACCCCTATAACAACAGAACCTTCTCAATCCATTGGCAAAATAGTTATCACAGGAATAGAAGTTACTGTGATATCGTGTTTGTATTATGGACTTTCCCCCTTTTAGAGTAGTTTTGGAATTTGTTAAAGTCAGTGCTTCTTACAAGTGAAGAATCAGCTTTTGGAAAAATCCAATGAAACGATTTTCGCAGTTTTCTGAGTAGGATAACAAGTCATACTTCTGATGATTCTGACGTGGCATTTTGTGGAGAAACAAGTTCTCTCAATGGTGGTTTTAGTAACAAAACTTTTATTTATCTTAGAAGATAACTGTCATTTCAGGCTTTAATGGCAATATTTATTAAAATTTAAGGGACCTGAAATACATACATACATATAAATACATGTGACATGTAGTATTATACCTCCATTATACAGCATTTGAATTCAGCATGAAAACACATATTTCAATTATTTAGGTACAAATGTCTCAAAGATTTGATACAATAAGCATTTAAAGTTGACTATAAAGATGTCCTCTCAATTACTGGTCCAATAATATGAAGCACTAAATTTTGCAAATAATTTTTGAGTTTTTTCCTATATTCAGAATACCTTTTGACTTATAACAAGAAAAAATTACACTTTTTTGGTTTTTAAGAACTATAAGGACTGGGGTTGTAGCTCAGTGGTAGAGTGCTTGCCTACCCTGTGTAAGGCACTGGGTTTTATTCTCAGCACCACATATAAATACAGGTCCATCAACAACAACAACAACAAAATAAATAAATAAAAACCAAAAATAAACAACAACAAAAAAATGAAATAACATCATTGCTCCAATTCAATCATGTTCCTGAACACATCTGGGCAATTTCATGGAAAGAATTATATATATCATTACTTTTGATATAAAAATATATTTTTGATATATAATTCATCTTGATGTTGTAATTTTGTTAATTACTTTGTAATTTTTATAGCCAAACTTTTTTTCTAGTGCTTTAATAATCATTGTCCAAGCCAGGTATGGTAGAGCACACCTGTAATCCAAGTGGTTCTGGAGTCGGAAGCAGGAGGATAGCCAGTTCAAAGCCAGCCTCAGCAAAATCAAGGTGCTAAGCAACTCAGTGAGACCCTGTCTCTAAATAAAATACAAGATAGGGCTGGGGATGTGGTTCAGTGGTTGATTACCCCGGAGTTCAATTCCTGCTACATTAAAAAAAAAAAAAATCATTGTCCAAAGAGACACTTCCTGCACAAAGGCAAATTTAAAGCTGTAAAGTAATTTTTCCACCTTATTGGTAATAATATGGACATATTCGAATAGTAATATAACTTCATATTTTAGTTTTCATGTATATGAAATCTAAAAATGAAGAATAATTTATAAATTAATATTTTGTTTTCAATATTAAGGCACAATATATCCAGACTGAGATGGTCAAATGACATAATTCTGAAGAATTGATAATCATAATTAAATTGTAGAATGTTGTATAAGTCAAATAATATAATGGTAGCTGAATCAACTGAATTTAGACTTAAGACAGAAATTGGGTTATTCTTCTATTGATGTATTAAAGACGTGTATGTTTATTTTATGCATAAAGTACTATTTTTCTAAATTAAATAAACATAGAATTTAATAATTGTTTTCTATGTATAATTGAAGCTCAAAATATCCTTTGAAATATTTAAAACATAAGAAGATAGATTCAATTTATTTTAAAACAAAATTGAAATAATAACACAGTCGGACTTAGACTACCATTTTTATGTGAGGGTTTTTAGTACATATGTGCCAATTAATAGTTCTCCTCACCTAAGAAAAATTTGAGTTAAGATACCAAGAGTTAAAAAGTCTTCTCAGGTAATACTTTACCACTGCCTCACTGAGTTACATATATTTTCTTCTATAATTATTATTTATTAGTTTATTTTACAAAATAGAATTTCAGCCTATATTTTTAATTTTTGAGGAGTTAGAAACTTAATGTGATAAACACAATATATAGCTACATAATATATATCTTTAGTTTTAAGAAGCATGTTTAATAAGATTTTAAAAATATTTTAAATGCAAAACTTTGAAGATAATAAAAACCTATTTTGAATACACTCTTTGGTCAGACAAAAACATCTATAATACTGAGTAAGTCAATTTGAGTATCAAAGTACTATTCTTTGTAGTTCGAATTAATTTAATAAATTTCAAATTCTGAATTCTAGACCAACTGAAATATTTGTAGTCATGTAATAGTGTCTTCACAGCTTTACAGTTTTAATAAATATTTTAAAATTAAATTTACATAATGTATTCAAACTTTCAACTAGTAACCTATCTACAGAAATTTATTTAAAAGTGAACAACTCAGTTTCTTATGTATTAAATGAATTAATAAAAAATTAATATCCATATATATCAAATAACTTCTAAAATAATGTTATCTAAAACAAATTCTCATATATATTACTACATTTTAAGTTTATCACCCCCAATTTTTAAGATTTATAACTTTATCATTGTGTAGTTGAACTTTGGATTAAAAACACAGTAACATTTTCATTAATAAATAAATAAAATTCAGGTTGGGTGCAGCTACTCAGGAGACTGAAGCAGTAGAATCACAAGTCTGAGGGTAGCCTGGCTAACTTGGGTGAGATCCTGTCTCAAAACTAAAAAGGCTGGGGTGTAGCTCAGTGGTATTGTGCTCCTGTGTTTAATATAAAATTCCATGATAGATAGATAAATGAACCTCCATTGATTGGTATCCATTTATTGACATTTACTAAATTTATAAATGAGAACTTATGAAAGATGAGCTAGAATTGGTGATTTCTATATATTTTTATAAAGGACAATATGAGTGTTTGTTATTTGAAGATCAGGTGTGCATACCTTACATTTTGATCTTTCAAGATATTCATTCAGATATTCAAATATTCATTAACTACTTTATGCCAAGAACTATTCTAGGTGATGCACTATTTATGTTTCAATGATATAATATTTTGGTACCTTTTATGCTTTGTGAAATTTATATCCTTTTTAGATTATTCAGTCCTTTATAATTTAAATATGACTTCATCCTAATGTTGCTGTTACAATTTATAAAGGAGACACACCTGGTTTTTCTTTAAATTATATAAATATTTTATTTTTTGAAGTTAATGAATCAAAGTAACTACTGTTTCCCACTGTTCCCAACCACCACTCCTCCTCCCAACCTTTGGCTCTTGGATGATCAAGACCAAGATAATACTAATCTACAAAAGTTCTTCTTTTAAAAAATAATTTAAGCATGAACAAAAATCTTCTATCAAAATGGATTGAGTCGTAGTCCAGTTCCTAAAGGTGAGAATGGATTCACCTTTGCCCACATCAAAGCATCATTCAATGAAATAGCAGATTTCCCATCTTCAAGGAAAAATACAGGGCCCTGTACATAGTGAAAGTTGAGAAAAAGAAAATATTAGATTATAAATTCATAACATTGTTTCAAGCTTCCAGAAACAGAATCACTGCAATAAGAACACTGGTGATATTCAGGCACTGCAAATAGGAATTCAAAAAATATGAGAAATTTGTTTTTGTTCTGAACTGCTACCAAATATAAAACACTTTCAAATATCTCATTATATTTTTATTTCTTGATGCCTGTGAAAATAGAATTTCATTTTATAATTTTAACTCTTTGTATACAGTAGTGTTACCAAGGATAATCATTATTACTGAAAAATCTATTTGTTGCCACAAAGTTAACTTATTTTCTAAAAGCATATATCATAGAAAAATACTTAAATATACTTCACTATTTTAACCATGCAGCCTATGTCAAAATAGCTGGGGAAATTATTAAAGCTGAGAATTTCAATCATGCTTTACAGAAGGTGAAGAATATATATATTGCTCTATATATGCATATATAATATTAAATTACATTTAATCAAGCCACTTAAGGGCATATTTATACTTTACCTGCATCAGTTATTATGTATGCCCAGCTTAGTTACTGGGGGGGAAAAAACCTTTCAGTCTGTATTTCCTAGGAAATTTCTATTTCCTGTCTTGAAAGGCAACATGTAAAAATCACAAAATACAGTAAAAAGTTTAGTTTCTTTAACTTAATAACCAAAAGCCTGATAGCTTTAAGACTTATTTTAAATGACATTTGTTGTTACAGAATCATTTCTAGATATTAGAAGTTGGTAGATAGATTCATATTAGTTGGTACTTGAAATTTCAAATAATAGCTCAAGCACATTAATTTTCTTTTGAAATAGAAATTTCCTGGGAGGGAAATTATGCATATTAGCCAGGCGTGCCTTAGTGTATTTGAGATAATAAGCAGATCCCTTCCTCAAAGTAGATTTAACTACAGAGAGGTTAGATGGTATTTATCAGGTCATTTGCTATCCTGAATGGAGAAAATGAATGCTAAGAGAGGAAGAAAAAGGAACCTGAAAGTAGCAAGTACTATAATGGCACATAAAGGGTAGTGAGTGGTGCTGAAATATACTCCAAATATTTCACAATATTTTACTCTTAATTAAAAGTTATTGAATTGATCTTATTACTTTGGTTCTTTATTTCAGAATAGAATTGGGTAATAAAGGTGTAGACAATGATATATGCTGTGCTTTAGAACATTTCAGTGTGTTTTGAAGACTCTGGTTTACAGTGGCAAGCTAAGCTTTAGGTAGGGGTCTATATTAGTATCCACCTCTTTCATTCATTTTGAGTGGCTGTCTCAAAAAATAACCTCATTCTCTGGCTGGCATGTCAACATTTGTAAGTTTTAACATTACATTAAAAATATAAGAGTTTACTGTTAAAATGTGCATGTATGTATGGGGGCTTTTAGTATAATTTGTAATCTCAATTAGCATTTCATGGAAGTCAGCTTTGTTTCTCCTTCAGGAGGACTCCTCCAACTAGTCCTGGCTCCAAGATGAAGACTTCTCTAGTTCTTCATGATAATGACACCATTGGGTCACATTGAGAGGCTCTAGCATCATTCATCATTGTTAATTTGTACACGAGGGGAAATTATTCGGGAATTAGTCATCGCTCATGATTGATCCCAATAATTTTTAATTTTTGAAAAGTTTAGTAAATCACTGTAACATAATATCCCAATAATTTAACACAATTATCAAAAATACACATCCATCAGGTTTTAATGCTTTGTGTTTATACAACACAAATGGAAACTAGAAGGTTAAATTTAATCTGTTGTGATAAAATCATTTGTAACTGTTGACTGTTGCTTGGGCTCTCTTATTAAACTTCCCTCAGGATATAACCTGTATGTATTTTAAAATATATTTGTTACTAAGCATACATATCATTTGTTACTGAGTGTATATATTACTTGAATTGCTTTTATGATAATATAATGACTTTCTCTGAATTTATTTTAGGGAGAAGAGTCCATTTATGCTAACTATTGTAGAAGCAGCATGGCACTATTTTCTTATGGGGCTCCATGCCTCATTATAGGTATCTATAGTTGTTTTAAAATAACATTTCAAAAATACATAAAAAGTTGAAATGAACATTTTATGTCTGACATTAAGCTGTACCTGGATTTTTAATCCCGTAAGACAAGACATGTGAATGTCACAATGACTTGGGAGATTTGATCCAGTCACATAATCTGGTCCAATAATTCCTTTGAGTGGTTCTTCCTTTAGTTTCTTTAATAAAGTTGCATAAATCATTCTTTGTGAATCAGAAGGGGGTGTATATGGCGATTCCTCTGATCTATATTTTCAACAAATATTAAATTTTCATTTTTATAGAATCACAGAATTATTGAGGTTTAGATTAGAAATAGTCTCTGATGATTATTTAGCTCTCCCCATCATAGGTAGAGGAAATCAATGTTAGATTTAAGTTAAAATAACAACAAAAAACTTTCAAAAGGCAGGAAAAACACCATTATAAATTATTACTGAATATGTGCTAAATAAATATTCATTCATTCTGCAAAAACTGATGAGACCATGCACATTTTCCAACAATTTTGTCTATCACATTCACTTCCTTCAGTATTTCAATTTTTATATTGTATCCACTCACTGACTGGTGGGCTGTGTGCAAGCTCTCCATGCATCCAGTTCCTCGGAAAGATGTTCAATTTTTAAGGGAACTGATACCTTTCGACGTTTTAATAGCTGGCTGAAATGTGAAAAGAAATTAACATATGGCATAAAAACTTAGATATCAGCAAAAACAAGTGCACTTCAATTTTGGATTTAATAATTGTTCAGAAATGTATGTACATATACCTAAATGTAATTATATACAGATATATACACACAGACATATATATCAACATTGTATGTACATGTGTATATATACACTTGTATATTTAGCATTTAAATCACTTTCAAGTTCCAAGATGCTCCAGAAACACTGGTTGCATAAATCACTGTCAGTAAATACATAAATGAACTGCATAATGTATGGAGAATAGCTATAGATTAGCTGAGCAATGTTGAATAACAGAGTGAGAGAGAATACTTATCACTTTGATCATCTGATCCTATACAACAGAGATATAATGGCACTATGTAAAAGAAGGAGTAGATTTGAGAAGAAAGATTATTTTAATTCTAAGCATACTAAATTTGAGACTGGAGCTTAGCAGGCTGCTGGAATACCCCCTTAGGAGCTAGCAGAGCAGGTTAGTCTGGAATAAATATCTATGAAGATATTCATAGAAGTGATAAGTGAAGCTAAAAAATGATGAGATTTCTGGAGGACAGTGTATGGAAATAGAGGGGAAAGAAGAGGAAAAGTGATGGGGGCCAGGAAAGGGAAGAAGAGCAGGGGATGAAAGGGAATAAGCCTTTTGGGAATTGCATATTTTGTGGATTAGGGAAACAAGCATAGGGAGCAGACAAGAAAACAAAGATGGTATTGTCAAAGAGAAGTTCTTTAAAATTAAGAATTTTTGAAGCTCTCTTTTTAAACTAACAAGTTTCCTTTAACTTTCATATATTCTCTCAAGTGTATCCTTAAATAAAAATAAATAAAAATCCTTTTTATTCTAATCTTAAATCTTAAATAAAAATACTTTTATTCTTAATTTAAGCAATTATTTCCATTTCTTTATCATCACTGAGGCCATATTTAGCTGAATATATTTCATTAAACATTAATTCTGTGATACATCCTACTATATCTTTTTAAATAATATCTTTTAATATTATTAAAACTGTTTGAATTTTGGTTATGCTGCCTGCATAGAAAGATTTTTCCTTGAGTATGCCAACAGTATTAGTTCCATATAATTGTTTAGGTTGCACTAGGTAGCAGTTACTTCTTCATGTACACCATAAGGGTGAAGTAGTCAGTAATAAGAAAGGTATTTCTCTCAGGATCCTCTACCTCATCTAAAGGGTACTCAGAAAAATTGCTTATCTCGAAGCTCTCAGCATCCATAAATTAAAAAGGTAACCTACTGTGCCATTTAGCAAACTAATAGATTTTGAAATGTATTTTGGAAGCGTACTGGGGATTGAACTCAGGAGTACTCAACCACTGAGCCACATCCCAGCCTTATTTTGTATTTTATTTAGACACAGGGTCTCACTGAGTTGCTTAGTGCCTCGCCATTGCTGAGGCTGGCTTTGAACTCATGATCCTCCTTTCTCAGCTGCGCAAGCCATTGGGATTACAGGCATGTGCTACCATGCCCAGCCCCTTGAAATGTATCTTTATAGAAGGGACCATGAATTTTATTTTGAGTGTAATAAGTTTTAAGCATAATGGCTGAAGTTCAGGAAGCTGCTAAAAAATGCAGAAGTGCATTATAATTGAATATAAAATAAGAAGTTACCTGTTACTCACAAATTCCATTTTTCTGACAGATTGGAAAGTGAATATACCTAGTCTCCTAGCTTATTTTAAAAGTAGAGTCATACAATTAAGGCCAGTGAGATGTAAAGCATGAAGCCCTAGGAGAGCTTTCTTTCTTGTATAAAGTTGCCTTGCTTGAAGACAGCTCTTTGAAGTCTTTTACCCTTAGTCTCTCTTTCTTACTTAGCTTCTAGCTCGACATATATTATGTCTACAGTCTATCTTGTAACCATGGAAAACCTATACAAGGAGAAAGAAGTCAAGAATGTCAGAGTTGAAGGAAGGAAAGGATTCACGTCTTGATGGAATCAATGCATAGCTACGACAGTAATGCCTTTGTAAAGTGTCCCGACACATAAGACCAGTAAACCCTATGTGCTTAAGCTAGCATAAGATTTCCATCATTTATAGTCTAATGCATTTTAACTCATATATCTTATTGCTGCTTTATTAAAAGAAGATGTTGAGTAAATAAATCAATGCTTCTGATCCACTTAAGAGACTATCTATTTTAAAAAGAATTTCTCTAATTTCATGATAGAAGAATATTTTCTTTTACCTTGTGTACTCATAAAGTGCTGGAACAATGCTTTGGTACTGTCTTCTGATAGCCAATAATGCACCAATATAACCACATAATATAAGCAACTCATTTCGAGCTCTAAAAGAGAATATATATACATTTCAAATTCTATAATTTGAGGCATAGAACATTACTTTTGTATATAGTTCTTGGATATATTATCTGTATGTGTATGTGCGGACATACACACACACACATATATTCTGTTCTTGTATATATATTCTGAGGATAACATTTGTAACAAAATATGTTTAGAAAATTTTCTAAACTTGAGGGAGATAACTTATTCATTAGTTAATAATTCTTATTCAGGACAAAGAATATCAACTATATTTCCTGCAGGGGAACCTGCCAGTGTCCCAGGCTGCAGAGTCATCTTTCATAGGTATAATTAAAGAAAGACCCCCCCCAAAGCCTTTCTTATAAATTATACCCAAGTCTCTGAAGGCTTAAGTTATATGATGATAATGTTTTAAAATGGTACTTGAATTTAGGGTTGATGTCTATTTTTTACTTTCTGGCACTTGTAGTTTCTTGAGGACTTGAGGTCTAAAACTTCAGGACACTTTGAATTAGCCTTTTTTGAGCCAGGTGTGTGTGTGTGTGTGTGTGTGTGTGTGTGTGTGTGTGTGTGTGTACACACATAAGTAAATATATATACACACACCGGATAGTGTTAAATGGGACTGTTAATATTTAATTTCAATCAATGACTGTATATTTTTAAAGAATATAACAAAAGTATACTTTTCTAGAAGTACAGCTGTCTGTCCAAGAGGATCTTATTTATTTACTGATAGAAACACCAAAAATTATAGAACCATTTAAAAACATGCATTGATTCTCTTGTATTTTAGACAAAAAGTACTCACTCAGTACATGTATGTAAGACTAAGTTTTCAGTACGAATATAACTCAACAGGTCAAGAATAGGATAAATGGTATCCAATGTCCAATTTGAACTACTGAGGTGTTCTGGAAGAACAAAATCAAATACAAGATTCTCTAAATAATAATGTCAAAATTTGTTCATCTAATTTTTAATTTACATAATTCTCTAATGGTTAATCCTATATATCTATATATCTTATTTTCTAGATCAGAAGTATTTTTCTAGTCACTATCCGTCAGGTCTCCACATAATATTTCTCATTTTAAAATTCAGGTTGGTCAGTGCTTGATTTTAAGGCTGTCAAGATGAACAAACAGATCACATAAATTAAGTAGACTTAAAGTTTATATTACCAATGATAAACTTACCTTTGACAAAGTCAATACCAATAGGAAGAGCTTTTTCAGGTTCTTGACTTAATAAATAATACTTTATAGATTCAAATACATTGCCATCTGCATGGGCCGTCTCAGCTAACTGCATACATTCTTCTACTGTGGGGAGTTTGCACTAGGAAATAATTGATTTAATGAGAATGTTACTAAGATTTATAGAAACAGAGCAATGGTATAAATACCAACTATTTACATATACCTGTTTTATTTATTAAAATTGCCAAGACAGATGTAATTAAAATTATTTTAATAAGAGCATATATTTATATATTTAAGATATTTAAAACAATTTTTAAGATCTAAAGACAACAGATCAATCTTTAATATCTAAAAACAATAAGTTCAGCCATTAGCTTTTCATCAAATACCTATTAAAAGAGGTAGAATTGAATTTTCTGATTGTAATATTGAAATTAGTAACTAGAAATTCAATTTAGCAAAAAAATACTAAAAATCAGTTTTTTTTTCTTTTTTAGTTGTCCATGGAACTTTATTTTATTTATATGTAGTGCTGAGAATCGAACCCAGTGCCTCACATATGCTAGGCAAGCGGTCTACCACTGAGCTACAACCCCAGCCTGAAATCACTTTTTTCATAATATATATACTGACCACTGGCAAAAACTTCATTATATACAGCAAAACAGTGAAGGTGCTTGATTACATGTTTTCTACATTATCATTTCACTTAGCCTTTGAACCAAGTGATCTTATTTCAAAGAGGCTAAAAATGTACAAGTTCTAAAATCTGACATTTTGAAATGCCCCTATAAAGTTGAGATTTTGGTTCATGAAGTTTTATTATTATAAAATATACCTTATATACAAACAGAGATATGATAAATTGTGGTATAAAGGTATATTAAGAATTGTAATGCAAAAAAATAAGAGCTCATGTATAATGGCATAATTTGGCGTGAACATACTTTATATTCAGAGTTATGAAAAATGGGCTGTAAATAGATAATTGTGAATGTAATGCATTCCCCTATTGTCATGTATGAAATAAAGAAAAAGAAAAAAAAATACCCAAAACTACATTCCTTATTGTTTTTTTGATAAAATAACCTTCAATTAAGTTGTTCTACCACCATAATATGAATAGTGATGGTTACCTTTTATATCAAGTTTCAATGTTTATATGATTTTTTAAAGCTTAAGAATGCTGAAGTCTGTTTCTAAGCAACGTTGATAGTTTAATGCTTTTTCAATTTATTTGTTTATTTATGCATTTATTCAATAGTTATGTATTTCTCACTGTTTTAACAATTAGGTAGAATGAACATTTTAGATCTTTCAATATCTAAGAAAGTAACGCAAAAAAACGAATTAAGGTGATGGTCACATATACAGCTTTACATATTGCTTGCTTCCCCATCCTTATTCATGAGTTGCCAGTAATTTACTGAGCAACTAATATGGGCTAGGCTAAATAAGAATATTTTTGTCCTATCTTAAAATCATAAAATTATATGTTACCATAAAGTTTGAATATAGTTTTTAATATTACTTCTTAAATTGTTTAGAGTTATTAACACCTTTACAAATATTCACTAGTTCTTCTAAAGAGTTACTAATAAAGACTAAGAGTGTGGTTACATCCTTTTAGAATGTGGGATGAAAGTGAGGTAAATACCACTCTTTCTCCCATTATCAAAGTCAATGGTAAAAGTTGCAATTAGATAAGATAAATAAGTTATGAGGCTGGGGATATAATTCAGTTGGTATATTGCTTATCTTGCATGGACAAGGTCTTAGAAGTTCAATCCCCAGCAGCCCCCCGAACCCCCCACAAAAAGTTCTGGTGTTCTACTGCACAAGAAGAGGATCATATTTAATAACAACATATTGAAAATTTAAAAATAATTAAAGGATATTAGAATTTCTTACTACAAAGAAATGATAAATATTCGAGGTGATTGCTAATTATTTTGATTTGATTATTCCACAGTACATACATGAATCAAAATATCACTTTGAACCCATAAACATATACAACTTGTCAATTAAAAATAAATAAAACTGTATCTACATAAACTTATCTAAGTCATTTAACCTCTCCAATCCTTGATATTACTCACTTGCCCCAGAGGATATCTGTTGGCATACATCCAACTACTACACAATAAATGTAAGATATATTAAAAAATAACCCTCTTGCCTCCTTCCACATACACTTTAATTTCAACGTAAAATAGCATTTAGTTGAATAATGCAAAAGCAAAAGCACAGCTTATTTTGAAAAGTAATTCAGGGGCTGGGGATGTGGCTCAAGCGGTAGCGTGCTCGCCTGGCATGTGCAGGGCACTGGGTTTGATCCTCAGCACCACATAAAAATAAAATAAAGATAAAATAAAAATTAAACTACAAAAAAACTACAAAAAAAATTAAAAATTCTCTCTCTCTCTCTTAAAAAAAAAGTAATTCAAAGAATGTGAAGTGTTTAAATAAGTTAAAATCTCCCATAATACCACAAACTACTGGTAATTCTGGACATTGTCTTTCACCAGTGATTTCTCTGATTCCACACACAAACTCTCATACTCACACACACTTTTGGTCTATCTATATTAACAATACTCAATAATTATATATTGTTGAATGAATGGGACCATTCACCCACTGGGGGAAAACTCAAGGGTCAAGTAAGCGGAAAAAAAACCCAAAAACAACAACAAAAAACTTAGTTCTCAAGTAAGTAAAAAAAAAAAAAAAAAAAAAAAAGAACTTAGTTATTTTGAAAGTTAATGATGAGAAAATATTTTATTGATATAAAATTTCTCAAGTATTCTATAAGTAATACACATGGTTATTTAAAAATGAAATCATATGGCATATTGATAGTTTTGTGATTTTTCTCTTTAACTACATTTTAAAGCCATCTTCTCATACCAACAAAAATAGGTGTTTTAATAGATTAATAGCACTGAAACACAGAAAGGTACTGTGACTTATATAAACATTTTTTACTACTGTTAACCATTTTTGGTGTTTTATATATAACATTAGCATATAGATTTCTATGTTCTGCAAATGAACATTTTAAAGCACTTTAGAATAATGACTATGAATTTCATTATATTTTATTTGGAAAAGATCTTGAATTGTCTATTTAAAAAATGTACACATACCTTCAGATGCAAAGTTACACAGTTTGGAAAGGGCTTTGAACTTGGAGTTGGGCTTGCTGAAGTTGAAATTCTCACTACACTTTTAATGATTAGGTAAGTTCCTTCCTTTTCTGAGTTTATTTTTTTTGCAAAATAGGATAATATTCCTTATTTCATGGTTTCATGAGACTTTAGTAATATACAAATATATGTAAGAATTTAGAACAGTAATAGGCATACAACAGAAGTTCAATAAATATTATTTCTTTTTGTTATAATTATTTTGAAGTTTAAAATATCTCAAAGGGATATTTGTTTTTCTTCATGTATTTCTATTTGCTTGAACCTGAAATTTATTAAATTATCACACTGCAATACACACTAGAATCATCACCATACCTTCTCATGAATATCATTTATTTCTTCAATAGACCCTGGGTAGAAAGCACAGAGTTTTACTAAATGTAGTTCATTATCAGGAATCATCAGGAGAAGATCGGCTGCCAAATTCCTGTTCATGTAACAAAAGGGGATGAAGTCATTGAGTAAATGATCTAAAAATAATATAATGATTTCAATAGTAGGAGACTCAGATAATGAACCTTCCTTGCTTTTCTATTTATATAAACTATTAATTTCCCAATTGGTCATGAAACTCCTCTAAATGTAGGTTACAGAAAACAAACAGCATAAAGGATAAATGCATTATCAAATTACTAAATAAATTTTAAAAATCTAAACTTTATATATACAAGTCCCTACATATTTATAATAAATATTATTATTACAGAATAATTTTCTAACTAAGTAGTATTGAATATGTTCTTTGGAGCAAATTATAAAACAAATTTTGTGAAAGCTAACTCTCATCAATTTTCCTTCTAACAATGGAAAATCTATATCAGTTCACTGAAATCTATAGAATACTTAGTTATTATAAGCTTAGACATTTTAGTATAATGCATATTTCTTTAAATAGAAATTGAATACAGAAATATAGTTTTTGTTAAAGATTTAATCAACAGAATAAAACACTTAAGGGTTTTAAAAATGTAAAATGCTATGCGCTTCACTGCCTTACACTGAAAATATTGCCTATAAAACCAGTTTTTCAAATCACTAGGTGAGGAGTTTTGGTCTGCATGCATCATAATTGAGAAAACATCTAATTTTCGCTGATTTAAGATGTTTAGAAATCAACAAATTAATATATAATGTATGATTTAAAATAGAGGATATTTCAAATAAGAATTTATAGTTAGGTACCAGGGACTTCATCTTGGTTTTGAAGACTTCAGTAAAATATACATTGGTCATTTATTGCCTAATCAAGAATGCAGAGTATAGAATAGAAATAGAAATGATTTGATTTATATTTCTGATGTCAAATACAAAAGTTAATTTAAAAAATGTTCACATACATATACACACCACAAACTACTAGAACAATAACAAATTAGGCATACTGTAAGGTTTTAGAATAAAAATTTTAGTGGGGTACCATAAAATTCTATATAAAATATTTTAATAATTCCAAATTCCACAAATAAATAATTTTCTATATCATGTCAATGGAGAATTGGTAAAAGATTACAATGTTTTTATGTATTATTTTCCCCTAGCCACTTCATAATTAAACATGTTTCCCAAACTGACAATATTTCTATTACCATTAGTGAGATAAATTTTTGAATGTTTTTATAAGTTCCAAATAAGTTTATCTGTTATTACTAGAGAGTATAAATGACTTTATGTATTTCGTGATACCAAAATTTTATAGCAGTTTTAAATAATGTCCATGATAATACTTTAGTTCTCTATAAAGTATCTATACTAAAACTATACTTAAACTTGCTAACTTCAGACAAATCTTGAATTTTTTGAGTATAATTCTATATCAATAGAGAGAAATTTATAGTAAGGCAGCTAATTTTATTCATTCTTCACTTCCATATTTTTTTTAAAAATTGAGTACATTGATGGGGTGATGGGGCGTGTGCTCATGCATATACATATTTACGTATAAAATGATACAGAACAACCAAATTATATAAACTCTTGAATGCCACTATGAGAACAAGTATTTCTTTTTTCTTTTTCTTTAACTAAAGTAGCTATTGTTTGTTACTATAGAAAGGTATGGTTCATTTACTGTACATATTTTAAGTATCATGAATGATTTTGTGCCTAGGTTATAGAAGCTACTCTTTATTAACTTGGTAGTTAGATTTTATATAAATTATATACATAAAAAGGCATGCTATAAAGCAAAGTGAAAATAGTTATTGAGCATTTTTTAATATAGATATAGTACTTAAATACTCAAAACAGTATAGCATTTAAAAAATAAAAATTTTTAAAAATAAAACTAATACCTGTATCCAACAGATGGAAAGCTAAAAAGGAAATATTGAACATGAATATTATAAATATGTGAATATCAATGAAGTTTATACCAGTAAATGTAAAAAAAACATGGGGTGTTTTTGGTTTGTAAAATTATGAGCATTGTCAAGTCATGCAGCTATTTTTATTTGTTTTTAATCTGTGGACTTCATTAATAGTCATGAAGATTACAGATTTCTTCTGGAAATTAACCTACCCAGCACCTCATAGTTCAGAATTTGAACTTTATCCTGGTTTCTATACATATCTAGAGCTTTATAAAGGAAGAGCTCTTGGTGGGGGATAGTAAACAAGGCAATAGAAATTTATTTTTTAAATTAAAAATATAGCTAGTTGAAAGATTCTAAGGATACTTTTAATATAATATGCATTTGCTATGTTTTACCTTAACTTTTAAAATATTAATTCCATTTCATTAGATTTCATTAGGCCTTTTGGCACAAAGTCAGCCTTATTTGTAAGGAAATAATTTGAGTAAACTTATGCTTTGGGACAGGTCTAAATCAAGTCATAATAACTACATAATTCTTGACAGAAAGATTTAATTCTCTCCGAGGATAGTCATTATTAAATACACTTCAGTGTGAAGTTGATGGTGGGGTACTGCCACATTTTGGTGGGGAAGAGAGTTCTTACATCACTAAGATGTGCATAAACATTAGAATAACCATGGGATTCTTAATTTGCTGTGAAATTCCTAGATCCCAACTGAAAAGGATAATAGAAAGTGTGCTTTCTCCTCCGCCCCCCAACACCAAGTCAGCCACAGATGAAAGAGATGGTATACAGTAGTAGCTAAGAGCTCGAATTTTGGAGCCAGTCTATGTACTTTTGAATCTCAGCTTTACCACTTACCGAGACCTCAGGCAAACCAATACTTGCCTCACAGAACTTAATGATTTATGACACAAAAAGTGTTTAACATAGTGCTTGGCACACAATAAGCAGTATAACATGTTAATTAGTCATGATAAATAAGTTCATTTGGAAACTTCTTGAGGTCCTAAGTATTTTGTTGAAAGAGAAGACAAAATTCTGAATTCATCTTTATTCAACAAACTGCATTGAATGACAGATAGCGTCCCATCTTTCCTAAAGGTGTCTTTCTAATGATGGACTCCCTGAACTAAGAACAAGGCTCTGCAGATCTGAGTAAGAACTGCTTTAATCTAGAATTCCAGGTTTCCCCTGGGAATTCCCTGGTCCATCTCTTAAGAGGACTTCAAGAGTTCAGGGAGAGGCCCTGTTCTAAGTCTTCATCAAAACGATTTTTTTTTTATTGTTTTCCCTTAGAAAAGTAACTTTATCTGCATTCCCTACATTAGGATACAAGATCTCACAAGAATAGGTATAGATGTGCAAAGTTTTAAGAGGTGGGATTGTGTGGTCTTGATGAATTTAAGAAGTGCACATTTGTTGTCTCCTAACTCTTGAGGTGCTTGAAACATTATGGAGCTACACCTGACTACTTCAGAAGGGGTCATGGTAGATTTCATTATATAACCATGGTAGTTCTCACCTGTACCATCATCATATAGTGTCCTAATACATAACAAATGTAATTTATAATATTTCAAAAATGCATGTAATCACTATAAAATTATTCTTTCAATTTGGAAATTCTTACCATATTGGAATCATCATGCATTTTCTTGCCAGTAATTCTAGGGCATAGTGAGTTGCTGGTGCTGCAGATTCTCCTAGTACCATTCCCACACAGACGGCCAACTCCAGTTCATTTCCACGAATCAGGTATGCCATAGCAAGCTTGCTCAAGAAGAAAATAATTTCTTTAGTTGCATAGATGCTGGGTAAGATCATCATTCCCCTCCAAGCTCATAAAGTAGATAAAGTAGTATTAACCTATAAATCAATTATTCTTATAAAGTATTGTTATATTCCTGTACAGTAAGAGTAATTGCAATTTTCAAATGAAAAATCTTGATAATGAGACATATGAGAAATTGACCAGGTCAGAACTGAAGACTTTAGAATTCTTGCTTTTATTTTTTCATTTAATAATACTCGGCAATATCCTCAACACATCCTTCAGTTTTTCAGAAAAAATATAAATTTGAAAAGTTTCTACAAGATTGTACAATAATATTAAATCATTCCCTAAAGCCAGTATATCTAAGGATAAGTGAATGGGTCAAGTGTAATGTGCCTTAAAAATAAAATTTGTGATGAACATATAAAAATATACTTAAAAACAAGTGCTTTAGTTTGTATCAGTTCTCATAATCCTAATAACTACAAGTGAAATATGTAAGGTAGTTACACTTTTTCATTTGGGGGCTGAGGACATCTGAGATTCTGAGAGATTAAGTGATCTGATCAAAGTCAATTTGTGTTAAAAACAGAACTAAGATCCTTGAATTCCATGTCTAGTGATTTTTTTCCTTCATCAGACTTATCAATTCTCACCTATGATGAATTATTTAAAGCAAGATTGTGAAAATACATACCATGTTTTAAAAATTAATCAAGAGATCTCATAGTCTGCAGCATTTGTGTGTGCTAATTTGGCAAGTAATCACTCAGGTTTGCAAGCATGCAAACCAGAATTTATGTAGAAGTCACCCCTCAAACACCATGACACATCTAATGAGGTTTTCAATCACAAGCACCAATTTGAAATGTTGTACCTCAATATTATCTACAGCTAGATGGCAACATGCAGCTAGTACTGCTCGACCATCCTGAAAATACCATTCTGCCAGTTCTTTACTGACTTTGTGGAGGAGTCTAGAATGAAAGAAAAAAAAGAAATATTCTTTATTAATGCAAGAATTCCATCATAAGTGTGAATAATGTCCTTTTCAAATGGGGATTAAGGGACCAAACAGGTTTTAATTTGACATCCTTGATTTAGGTCTAAACCTTATTTAGGAAAAAATTCAGGAAAGCAGTCTCTCCAAATATATACTCTGATAGTCCTCTCCAGCCTCAGCACCTAAACTCTAAGAAGAAAAGCCTGATTTTTAAAGCTTCCTTTCTCTAATGGGTAAATTATGACTTGCATGTATAATGTTTAACTTTAGAAGAATCACAGGTTGAAATGATTGTTTTCAAAATTTAGGTGATGCCCAAGATATGACTTGTGTTATGTCAGGTCTTAAAATGCCAAGTTTAAAAATGGCAGAGAATAGGAGCAAAGATCCAGGAATGACTATATGACTCCCAGCATATTACTACTCATTAACATTTCATGATCCTTCTGTAGTTTCTGAGTGTCTGAAAAGCTTAAGTATCTTATTGTTGAGGTCCATAATAGGCACCAATAGAGAGGGTGGGAAAGACAGACTAAGGGTGAAAAATTCTAATTTCTGCTTCTTTTATAATATAACCAACTGTATGGACTTCCTATTTAAAAGAGGAATAAGTGTTATTCTATTCTACACACTTAATACTGGTGTCATGGGATTATAGACACTATGGGGATATTACATATACTCACTTTACAGTGAATCATCAATAAACAGCATTCCTTATTTTACTACCTTGTCCTCCCCAACAGGTTTAATCAGTTTTTTTAAGTATTTAGGTGCTTTAATTGCTCTCTCTCTCTCTCTCTCCTGAGATGCATGCTACTTTTCTGGAAGTTACATAAAATGCATGCACATTGTGTCTACATGCCTGACATTTTCTTAATTATCCAGGGATGAAGGCTGTCATGGAACTCCATGTTGAGAAATGCAGTTGATCATAAGGCAGCAAGTCCTCAGATAAGGATGTGCTACATAACCTCAAAAACTTCTAAAGAAAACCAATTATAAAAAAATTCTGACCCAAAATAAAGAGTAAATCACTTACTCATCAAAGCCTTCCTTGTAGATATCATCAGAATATGAAGCTCCTTTAGGTGTAGAAACGTGCAAGTTTTGCATATTCCCCTCGCATGCAGCCTAGGGGGTTTAATTAAACTTTTAATTAATCTTTAGCTATATAACTGACAAATTTAAAAATATTGTTTGCAGCAAATTACATTTAAATCATATTGAAAGTTTATGAGATTTGGAAAGAACCTTAGAATTTGAAAATAAATAAAATGTAACTCCACTCTGAATATCAACTTGAAGCTTCAAGTAAATGATTACTAAAGAAAAGTTGTTCAAATACATGGTATATCACAGTGAACAGCATGTGAAAAGTTCAGAGTTCTGAGATGCTTGCCTATTTAAAAATCTAAAATAAGTTCAGTATGACCACAGCAAAGATAGTATGATAAAAATGTTGAAGCAGAAGGCTGGGGAGGTGGGTTGAAACCAAGCTATCTATGACTGTCAACCACTTGCCTATGAGAACAATATTCTCCATTCCTCATACCCACCCACCAAAGTATGTGGCTGCTATATTTATGTGGTTTTACCTGTGCAACAAGCAGAGCTTCTTTAAGCTGACCTCTTGACATAAAAAAATTTACTAGCTTTCTCACATCACCAGTGGCTATGCAGTAAGGAATGACATCATCCTTATCTTCCTGGATTAATTGGTCAGCTCTCCTAATAAAATAAAATTTTTATTATACTATATTAAATTAAAGCAAATTATTAATTTCAAGGTTTTCAGTTGGACTTATATTTTCTGAAAGTATGTCTAAAATTTGTAGCAAATTTCATAAAGCTTTTGGGGACATCATTTAAAGAAATACAGATTTTTATAATGAATTCACATATAGAAGACATAAAAGTTATATAAGATAATACTACAGATATATATTTAGCCTTATAACACTACATTTTCATTATATTTTAATTATTTACTAAAATGAACAATGTATTTGAAAGCAAGTTGTAAAATGGAAATGATTGTATATTTATTCTCAATTGGATTAATCAAATATGTGGATTCTACATAGTTAAAAACAGAATCTTATGTGTTTTAGTAAGAATAACAATGAACAGAGAGCCTCTTAAGTTGAAGTAGTGTAAAAATCATTAAAAAGGATAATACAAGAACAGAAATATTGATAATAAAATGCAAAATATTGTAAGTAATCTAAGCAAAGATCTTTAAAGATAAATTAATATTCCAGACATATGAGGGGAAAACAGGGATCAAGATTCTGGATACTGAATGGTATACATGTATCTGTTTCTGTATATCTGTATTTCCATACTCATCACTATTCTCCCTGAGTCCTAAATATTTTCTCAATGATCAATCTAGTTCATTCTATTCTAAATTTAACTCAAGTTTTGTTCCAGACTAACCTGGCATATTTAATTTATGTTGGCATTTGAAATATAAGTTTAACTTCTAATCTTTAGGTTGATAGAGAAGATAATTTTCATATTGTTCATCTAACTTCCAGTTAACCATCTCTAGTTCTTAGACTCAACTAGGTACTCCTCAACAGCCTTTACTTCTCATTCTGATTTCCTCATAGTAGATGTTTAGAAAACAATCTACTTTCCTGGACATTTTGGAAGCAGAGTCAAGAGAATTCCAATCAAACTTTCTACGTGACTGGCCTGAATGGCCTGGATCTATAAAATATAAACCTCAGGATTTGTGGGGAGATCATTTTATGCCCAATATTTGGAGTAAAGAGCAGAAAAAAAATTGGGTGTTTGCTGGTGAAGATCAATGAAATACAATTGGAAGCGTTGTCTGTATTCCCATCTGCAACCTCTCCTCCCTCCCATTGCCTCCCTTAGCCCCTTCTAATCTTGTCTCAGTCTCCTTTCTGGCCAAGCAGCTCTTAAGGTTAAGGATACCTTCCATTTGTACAGATTTACTCTGAGTTACCGAGTCAAGATTATCTATTTGACATTCCTATTAAAATCACAAAGGAATCTATAACTCATCATGTCCAAAGAGAACTAAGGATCTTATGTCTCCTTTGAATGAAATAATCTCCTAATTTTCACTTTTTGGGGGTTGTTGGTTTTTTGTTTTGAAATCCCAGTGAATAGCAACAGTGTTTCAAAACCTAAAACTGAGGAATTATTTGTGACACCTTCCTCACCACTATTACCAAGTCCAGCTAATTTTAAATCCTATGTATGTCAATTTTTTCCACTTTTCTCCCCCATTACCATTTAACTGTGCCACTGTTGTCTCCTGACATTATTGTTCTCATGCTCTTCAACGTCTCCTCATATTTGTTATTGACCTTCTCTAATCTGTTCTTGATAGTTTAGCCTGTGTGAACTTTCAAAATGAAATTCTGATCAGGTCACTTTCTACTCTGTTTAAAGTTTTTAATGTCTTCAGTTGCTCATAGGATAAAAAAGAAAGAAAAAAAAGAAAAAGCTTAACATGTTACAAAACCCCCAAACATTTAGCTCCTAACTACCTTTTCTCTTTCACTTGGCACCACGCCCAATGCTGGCTTCTATACTCTAGCTATCTTAACACCCTTTTAGATTCTAAATGGCATAAAATTAAGCTTTTGCTGAGGTTGAAACAGTGTTTTATGAAATAAGTCTCTGCTGTCTAGACTTTATTAATGAGTCAGTGGGAGCAGTAACTTTCTCAAGTGTGTTTTGAGGGTAGAGAAATCTATAAATATCTGTGATTCTGGGAGCCTATGGTCTGAAAATGAGAGTCAGCCTATTGCTTAGCTTTCTTTTGGGGCAGCAGGTGCTGAGGAACAGTCTACTTTCCCAGGGAAATATGTAAATCCTTCTGGATTTCATGCTTATCCTTTGACTGGTTTTAAAGCTATAAACCTTGAGGAACTGAAGATTGGTGGTAGCTACCAGAAGTTGGGAGAGAAGCAAAGAACTGATTCTTCCCCAGAGCTTCCAGTTGTAACCAATTTTGCCAACAAATTGATTATGGACTTTTTACCTCCAGAACCATGAAGGACACATTTCTACTGTTTTATGCCATCCAGTTTGTGGCAGATTCTCAGGTGGATCCATTTCCTAGGGTTGTTACAGTAACCCTAGGAAATGGATCCACCTGAGAAAAAATCTTGTTGGTTTATAGCATTCTAAAACAAAAACATTTAGGTACATTTTCTCAGTAGTCAATCCATTCTCTATCATCAGTACCTCCCTTATACCCAAGAAGAAATGGCAGAATTCAATGTCTCCTACTAGACTGTAGATTAGATTCTACAAATAACAGAATATTATATTGATAGCCCTCAGAAAATCTTTTTACTTATATTTCAATAGTGATATTAATCAGTAAGCATGTTTTCTGGTTTGTCTTTGCCTTCATTTATATGGGGAAATTTGTCTTCTGTCTTCATCAGAGGAAAGGACAAATATAAGAATATCAGAATGATTTGTAACCAATTTATTAATCTTTTATAAGTAGATAGAAAAATTCATATATTAAATAAGACAACTTAAGAAAAATCTCAAAAGACACTACCACATTTACATATTGCTTCTATTTTAGCATATGATTTTAAAACATCTACTTGGATGCAGACAGTTGGTCTTACCTCTGCATTAACTTCTTCCAGTATTTCACAGAGACCCCTGGTGCAATTGACAGGGCTTTGTCCCACTAGGATCACAGGCAAGAAGGATAAAAACATACCTATTTTGATTATACTTATATTAGGGTTTAAAATGAATTCATATTATAATACAGAACTTTTAGAGTTCTTGAATTTTCAGGAATATTTTTTTATTCTATTTAATGCATTCCGCACAGACTAAATATTACCATGTTGTAAAATAAAATCTGTGAAATTTTAATATTTAACAGGGAAAATCCAATCACAAACCTAGAGACAGAGAAAGAGGGAAGGAGGGCTAGGAGAAGCAAAATAGAGACAGGAAGGGGATGAAAAGATAGTAACTAAGGTGTATAGAAAATACTGGAACTCATACTCTAACACAACACCAAAATAATTTGTTCTATGGTGGTTATATTCAAAATAATACTGAAATTTTTAATTTTAACATTATTTGATTGAAGAAATACACCATTTACTTCTCTTTATTTTTTTTCATACTCACTTTATAAAATTTATTCTCATTTCTATCTTTATAATTAATAATGTTTGTCTTATTTTAAAAACTAGACTGCTATTGAGGAGCTCATTATTCAGTTAAGGCCAATTATGACTAATTCGAAAATATGAAATTTTCTGAATTCAAGTTCTAAAAGGAGATGAAGAGAAAATATACTGAAACATCACTACATGAATCAAAATTTTCACTTAATTAAGGTTTTCCAAAATAATGGGGTTCTACTGCAATGAAGCCTTAAAAATTTGTGATTAACTTAAAATAACATTGACTTTTCAATAGTTCATTTCTGAAAACACATATTTAAAATCATGTTACCTGAAAGGTACCCTATAATAAGTTTTAGGAGAAATATATTTATTATAGTAGGGGAAGTGGAAGAAAAATGTTAGAATGTAGATTATTAACTTTGAATCCACCAAGCTCTTTCAATAAAAACATATCAGTTATCTCTGATATGTGGATACTAACACACAGTGAGGGGTAGAGGAAGAATAGAAATTCAGTGGATTAGACAAAGGGGAATGAAGGGAAGGGAGGGGGCACAGGAATAGGAAAGACAGTGGAGTCAATCTCATTTAATCTTCCTATGTACCTATATGACTACACCACAGTGAATCTCCACATCATGTACAAACAAAAGACTGGGCTCCAAATTAGAATAAGATGAACTCCATGTATGTATAATTATGTCAAAATATAGTCTACTGTCATGTATAACTTGAAAGAACAATAACAAAATAAAAAATATAAGTGAAAAGATGAAATGTTTTCTTCACCCATACTTTTAAGCTTATTGAAACAGAAATTATTCTTGAGGAGGTGATTATAAACAGTTATAAGCACACCCATATTTCTAAAAAAAAAAAACTATAAACAGTTCTATGAATCTTAAGTTCATCAGTGAATCTGTATAACAATAAATTATTAAGCTTCTTAAGAGATACCTAATTTAGAAAGTTTTTGAGTTAAGATAGTGTAAAATTACACACACACACACACACACACACACACACACACACACACACAACTTGGAAAAGTAAAGAATTATACTGTTCTACCAAAACTCATTCATTCCTTTTCTCCTTTTGATAGATTTCTCTTCTTAGTAATGTGCTATTAAAGATTTGATTCAAAAGTTACTTTTTTATGTGATAATAAAATTTTTACATTACTCTAAATTATTAAACACATTAAATGTGTAATGCCTTTTCAATAATATTGAAAATATTATTGAATATATTAAATGATATATTTTATTATTTCAAGTAGTAATTCATTGACTCTAAATATGTGGGAAAGTAAAAAGGTGAGTTAAATTTGATTTTGATATATTTTAATGTAACTGCATTGTTTAGTTTTACTTCATATTATTTCCAAGTATTCTTCAAATCACACCTTATAATTCCAAAATTAACTAACTTAGAGGTTGTGAAAGTGATAATTGGGTCCATGCCATTCCAACATTTGTTTTAGCAGAGTAGGTAGGTAGAGAATTTTTGTTGAGCTAAAACATATTTATAGAAAAGGGAAAAGATCAATGAATTTTTACAAAGTGTATCTACCATACAACTTGTACCCAGGATCAAAGAAACAAGCACTCCAGCCTGTGTTCCATTCTAATCACTACCCACCTTCTAAAGGTAACCATTGTCCTGAATTTTAATAGTATAGATTCATTCAAACATTTTTTGAAAAATTTATTCTATTGAAATAGTCCTCTATAAAAACCACGATATGCTTTCTAAGTACTCTTCACTAGAGGATCCTCAATGAAAACCCCTCTTCTTGTCAGTGTGGAATTTAGTCACGACAGAGTTTATTAGAAGGAGGATTTTACTGCATGCAAATTAGCCAATTGGGGTTTCATGGAAGTGGTTCTGAAAATTTAGCATGCATAAGAACAACCAGGAGGGCTTATTAAATCAGATTATTGGGCTCTATCCCCTGAGTTTACGATTTTGTAGGCCTGGGGTAGGACATGCATGCTACCAAGTGATGTAAATGCTGCTAGCCTGGAGAACTCACTTTGTTAATTACTGTCCTAGGATATATAGCTGATATTAGACTGCCAGGAAATCAGTTGGATCTGAAAAAAACTAGCTTCATATTTGAATACTTAGTATTAAGTGTAGTCTTAATACTTAGAGTACCATGTTAAACTCAATAATTTTGCTTTAATGGCATATTACCTCTCCAAGTTCAACCATAAGTTCACAGTATCTCTGAATTTGTCCTAATCTCAAGTGTATTTCAGCAGCTTCCTTCAGTCTTTCCTCTTTAGTAGGTACACCAATACCACCACCAAATTTAGACATCTTGACTGTTGTTAGTTCTTGGGCTTCAGACTGATTAAAAGAAAATAAATATTTTAAAATTTTGTTATAAAAGAGCCAGGCATTTTAAAAGCACATAGCATTGGAAATTAAATATTAAAAATAATGTTTTTCAATGAAATATGATACTTTTAAAAACATAATATTTTGGCATGTGCATGGGAGTGTGGTGTGGGAGAAGAGTTGCATCCTGTTAACACTCTCCAGGTATTGTGGGTAAGTGAAAGAGTGGGGGTCAAAGGGAGTCTAAATTGACATACTACTGATAAAGATCTTAAATAAAAATTCAAAAATCTTGAATGAAAACAAAATAATCACTGGCTGTCTTTGACCCCTGTACTGTCAATAGATTTTTCAGCTATAGTCTTTAGGTGTTTAGTTTGTGATTGAAGAAAGTGCTTCCTCTTTATGAAAATAATTCTTTTCACCTTCCTAATATGATTTTCTCCATGTTCTAATAGTTAATTGCTGATATTTCATTAAAAATAATACATCTCTTCTTTCCTGACCCTGTATAGATTTTGTTATTGATACTAGATATTGCCCTAGTTACTTTCTTACATATTGCCCTAGTTTTGAGTTAGTTAATACTACTACTAAAATTCATTAAAAGCTCCAACATGATCAGTTTTAATAAAATATATCTTGGCATATAGTCTCTTAGATCCTCTGAGGCTACAAATCATAGTATTTATTATTATTATTGTGTCACAATAATCTTGTAATTGCAGAAAGATAAGGCATTTCAAGGAATTTCAAGTGACCTTAAAAAATGTCATGAGATTCAACCTATGAAAATATGGGTACCTTAATGTGTTCCAAAATAATTCATGCTCTCATGATTGGTTTTACAAAAGATTTATCTCCTCACTGTTCATTCATTTTAGTTTACCAATCTAATCATATAAATATGAATATAATTTCTATGATTAAAGTAATCATATAACACATAATATAATAATTATTAACCTGATTAATTAGATACTCATATAATACATAATGTGATTAATTACATTATGTATATTAATGTAATTTTCCTACATTAATAGTGAAAAGGGAAAAGTTGCTTGAATATATTATATTTGCATACTTTACTTACTGTTCTAAATTTAATCAGGTGCTTCAAATGCATTATTCCTTTGCAGTAGCTCTGAGGAAGTAAACTATCATCTTGCCCTTTTATCACAGCCACCAAGTTCCATAAATTGTCACTGCCACCTGGAGGCTAAAATGTTGATACAGAATAACCAAAGATAAAAAGGTGAACGACAATCCTTTCAGCATTTTGCATCTTCAAAAATACTGTAATTCAGATTATCTATACTGAAAATGAGCCAAATAATAAGTATATACTATCTCACTTATTTCTGATTTCATATTTGCTTTCTTATAATGTAGAAATTTTATTAAAAGGGATCCACTGAAGTGGGATGATAAATTTAAATATGTGACAACTTACTGGCAATAGCCACAGTGATTCATTTTGTCTAAAGGATCACACTTAATTCCTAATACTTACTGATAAACATTCTGAAAACCATCTTAATTTTTTCACTCGAGGATTACCAGCCAGTTTTTCTATTTCCTGTTTAATATCTCTTGACACTTTACCACACAACAGAGGAGGAGCGCCTTGTTCTATGACACAATCTGAAGAAGAGAGAAAAAATTTTCCTATAAAATATTATCTGAAAATAAAAATTTATTTAAAAATAAAATCAAATGCATGCATATTTTCAATACCAGTATTCCCGATAATTTCTTCCCAAGATCTGTCTGCCAGAATATTTATTTGTAAAGGAGTGATTAAAGGTGTTAATGACCAGAGTCTCACTGTAGAATCACGGGAGCAAGAAGCCATAGTGAAGGGGCGACTTGGATGGCATGTTAAACCTGACGGAAAAATATAAACCTGTTTTAACTAAAGTAAACATTGGAAAAAAATCTTATTTATAGTTGGTTCTTAAAATATCTACAGAATAGAAGTCATGAAGAAGGTGAATAACTGAAAGATTATCAGAATCAAACTTCAACTTGTTTTTAATTAATATGGCTGACAATAATAGAAGACTAAATAATTATTAGTATATTCTATAATATGAATATAAAATTAAATAATTATTAGAAAACAAATAGTCCTGTGTCAAAATGTTGAAATTATATTTCATTTGGATAAGCAGCAAGTATACTGTAATACCAACAGGGCATATGGTATCTATGAATTAATAGAAGGATAGATTAAAGTTCTAGTTAACAAGATGAAAACAGAATTTAAGACATCTCAATTGAGAATATCAAAAATAGGATTCTCCCCTACACGCAGTCCTACATTGCCTCAGCTAAAAGGCCACTGAGGTAAAGCATATAGATCTGAATAACCGAATTTGGGATACTTTTTCTAAGGAATTTCTTTCCTTAACTAATACAACAGAGAGTAAAATGATATGCAAAAGATAAGTAATTTGATTTTCTATACTTAGCTCAATTGTACTAAAAAACTTGGTGTTTTATGTTTTAAAAATTTCCCTTAGTGTCCCCAGATAGAGGAATGGTTAAGTGAGTTTTATCTATTCTACTATTAATTTCCTTTTCTGCAACTTAACTCTGAAATGATGGGAAGGGAAGAGGGAAAATTTGGCCCAGATATGCACATATGTGCATGGGTATATGTATGTATTGTGTATGTATATGTGTGTGTACTCAGAAACATGCACCTGCAGAGAGAGAAAAACAGTGCTAACAATAGTCATCTTCTGATAATTTCTGACAATTTCTTCAGTTTTCTTTTATATATTTTAATATTTCAATAAAAACATTTTCTAATGAGAATTTTTTCCAAAATGAAATGCTGTAACACTTCTTTAAAAATAGCATACTAATCATAAATTATAAGCATCATTAATATATCAAAATAACAAGTACATGAAAAACTCTTTACCGTACACATCTGCACCATGATCATATACAGTATCCAAGCAAGTTCCTTCCCGAGTGTCCCACACTTTTATAGTATAGTCCCAGCTGCCAGATATTAGTAGATATGGAATCTCAGTATTCCACATTAATCCCCTCACCGGTGCAGTGTGTCCACTAAGAATATTTATGCAAGCATCTTGAGTATAATCCCAGATTCGAACAGAACTGAAAATAGAATATTGTGTATATAATTCAAATTATAATTTATCCAAAGTATTAACATTCTTAATGAATCATAATGATTATTAGCAGATTTGAAATGCATTTTATAGATCAAGATATATCAATTCTCTTTGTTATAGTAGAGGAAAATGAACATTTAACTGTGCCAGAGTTATTTTATTCCAACATTTTTTAATTTTTTGATATTTACTGGTCATTTTAAAGCAATAAATATCAAATATACTGCTTTAAAATTTATATATGAAAAAGCTGCTCTCTTAAAATGAAATATCCAGAACAGATATAACTGAAAATAAACTATGACTGATAACAGAAATACAACATGAAAATTATTTGCATATCATAAAAATACATAGAGGATGATGGATATTATCTGAAAAATCATTATAAATTTATGCTTTTACCTATATAGTAAATCATTCCTTTATGACTTAGGGTCAGTAAAATAACTTTCTTGGTCAATGTGGAGTCAATCTCAGACAAGTAAAAATTTAAATATAAGTAGGTTCATAATATTACTTGGTCTACTAATTGCGCAAACCACAAACATTACTGAAATCAAAGTTTGAATTCAAAATCAATTTAAGACCTCCAAATGCTAATAAGTTTTTAGTTGAAAACTTATACCAACCTGACAATATCAAAACATTGGTATGTCAAAGATTATATTGCACTATAAGGGAGATACAATATGTACTTTTATTTCTTTAAAGCATATCTTTGTACTTTATATAAAAAGGCTCCCTTCATTCTCCCATTTTCCTAGTACAAGATAATAAAATCAGTTCTCCATATCCATGGGTTCTACATCCACAGATTCAATCAAGTATGGAGAGAAAATATTTTTTAAAACTGCATTTGTATGGAACATGTACAGACTTTTAATTGTCATTATTCCCTAAACAATACAGTCCAACAACTATTTACATAATATTTATAGTACATTGAATATTGTAAGAAATCCATACATGACTTAAAGTATAACTGGAACATGTCCATAGATTATGAGGGACTTCAATATTCAGAGTTTGGTGTGCATGTGGTATCCTGAAACAATCTCCTATGAATACTCAGGGATGAATGTATATCTGAACATATTATAACCTAAAAGTTTTAGTGCTAGTTTCCTATATATGTTAACATTTAAATATTTACAGTTTACTATCATGCTTTCATAGACAAGAATATGTTAAAATTATTTTCCATCAAAATAATCAAATGCTATTGTTGGGGACTCACTAGAATGGGGTCCTTCCTTTCATGAAAGGAGTCAGTTAGGTTTTGAAGTCATATATGTTTTCTGAATGAATATTAGAAAGGTTTTTATATGTCCCACTATACATGAGAATTGTCTAGGATTCCCAGGATGAGGTATAGTATTTGTGAGCTATGCTGAATACATTAGTAATTAATAGTTTCCTTACATTTTTACCTTTATTTAAAAGTGCTAGATAAATTTAGTGAGGAATAACAATTATATATATAAACAGTGACTACTAATGGAATAATCTTAATAAAGCCTTTCAATTTTCACTACCATAAATAAGTAAAATTCTTACTGCTGTCTTTCTGAAAATAATCCTTAGATAATAATTAAGATTATGCCTTTTTCCATATGGAACAGAATTTAGACATTGAAGTCTAAGTTGAGAGACTGGAATAATTGCATAAATAATATTCACTTTTACATAAAATATTATTTCAAATATGGTTATTATGTAATAAACCACAAAACTTCATAATTGTTTCTTCTATTAAACTTGAATTTATGCCAAAAATTTAAGATGAAAATGCTTAATTATTTAATTTTAAACCCATGGATACTATGCATTCTAACTCGTACTGATAAAAAGCAAGATTTTTTCTTACCCAAATTTATCCCATCTTCAAGTAATTATTAAACATACCATTCTGTATAAATGTATTTTTTTGAATATAAAATATGGACAAAATGTTAGAAACTGCCACTAATAGAGAAAAATCTTAAGTCCATCTCATTTCTAAAATGTTCTTTTCACGCTAAAATTTATGATCAGTTTTTATTCCATTCTTGATGAAACAATATAGCTGGTTTTCATATTAAACATAAGAACATTATTAAAAACTCTTCATATTTTATAGTTTTTTTCAGATCTTCCCTTTCCCTATGTATTTTTTTTAATTTGTTTCTGTTAATTTTCTTGCCAGTATGCTAGAAAAAAGCATTCATAATAAGCAAAATATACAAGAAAATAAAAGCTATGACTATAATGATACCATAAGCATGGAAGAATTTAACATTTTTTACTGAATTTAGTTTTAGTTGTTAGCTGCCTGCTTTTTAAGCACAAATTTAAAGTATACCCACATATAATTTGATCATATAAATATGTGCATCTCTGGGAAATATGTTTATGATTTTAAGTACTAGAAAATTAGAATCCAAAAATACATACCCATCATCAGATCCACTGCAAAGAATTCCTTCTCTCAGGGGAGACCATTTAACATGAAAAACTTTTGCTGTATGTCCACTAAAGACTTTCAATGGTTGATCTGAGCTCGTGGCTACATAATAGACACGCACATTTTTGTCTTCACAGCCAGTGGCAATCATGTCTCTGAAATGTCATCCATGGAACATTAAAATATGATAACTTTGATATTATTCTCTATTAATAATTTAAAAAATGTACAACAGTTCTAATTTCTAAAGAAATCATTGTTTGCTTCTTTGGTGAAGACTAAAACCTTACATATAAAAAAACATCATATATAATTATGCTAACTTCTCATTTGCAGCAACTGTCCCAGTATAGAAAAAAAATTCCTTTCTCAGTGTTTCTTAAACAACTAATTATATTGCATGAAAATCTAATTTTTATTCCAACTTCCCAAATGCTTAAAAGAGACAAATAAGAATGTAGAACTATTCTATTGAACTATTTTATTTTTCAGATATAATGCAATTCTATTCATATTTAACAAATTTTTATTGAACATTACCTCTTCAATGGACAATAAAGTTTTGCAACCCAGTGTTTTGTTGATAATATTCTGCTAAACATAGACAACATAGTTATCTCACGGAACTTACATTATAGAATATGAGATAGTTAATATGCAAACAATCACACAATTCAAAATCCAATTTTATTATAATAAGTAATCCAAAGGCACAATATTGAGGTCAGAGAAGACTTTTTTGTAAAAAGTTTTTGAGCTCAGAGCTGAAGGATAGGTGACAGTTCTTTGTCCAGGCCAGGTGGAATGTGTGGTATGTAGAATGTGGTGGGAAGTAGAATCCTAGCTAACAGGCACAGCTTGAGTGAAAGCCTTGAGCTGAAAATCATCTGGACAATACAAAGAACTGAAAGCTAATGTGAGTAGATGCAGGGAGCAGGGGGAGCAAGGCTTGGAATGAGATTAATGAAGTACATCAACCCCAATTTATAGTGGTTCCTCATAGGGCCTAAGTGTTTGTATTTTATCCTGTAACTATTGGGAAACTATTGAAGGATTTAAATAGTAGAATGGATTCTTAGATCTATATTTTAAATGGCTGCTATATCAGCAGAGGTGGGTGGGGAGAAGGGGTAACAAAAATGTAAATTCTGGAATTGATTTAGAAGACTTTTGAGGGCATCCAAAAGCAAGGAAAATGCAAATAAATATCATCGGTTTAGTGGCAGGGGGATGTTTGGAAAGAGTATGACAGGCATTGATGGCTTCTAGAAACTGAGAGGTTATAAGGTAGAAAGAGGCAAGGATTCTGGCTCAGTGGGGAATGTGCTGGTCACCAGCCTATTTTGTGTATAACCTAACAAGGTGCTAACAAATTCCTCAGTATTTACTGGAACAAATACACATGGCAATCGTTTTGTATCATACCATGATTTGATTCAGAACACAATAATAATAAAGCTTTAAGTTTTTTTGTGCCAGGGATTGAACCCAGGGGCACTTAACCCCTGAGCCACATCCCCAGCCAGCCCTTTTTGTTTTGAGATAAGGTCTCCCTGAGTTGTGAAGGGCCTTGCTAAATTGCTGTGCCTGGCTTTGAACTTGCAATCCTCCTGCCTCAGCCTCCCTAACTTCTGGGATTACAGGTGTGCATCACTGCATCTGGCTCTTATTTATCTATATATTACCCACATGTAGTATGAAAAAAATAAGATAATTCATGATGTTTGACAAATGTCAAATGTTTGGATTTTAAAATATAATCCATATCATATCAAAGAGTAGTTTGAAACACAAAATTCTTGAAGTGAAGTATGTTAAGGGTCTAGTTTGAGTAAAATTTTACTTGGATTTAATTTAAGTCTTAGATTATTTTTACATAATATATACTCAGCTCTTAAGCAATGGTGCCTTTTCAAAACTATCCACTTGGGAGGCTGGGGACATAGCTCTGTTGGTAGAGTGCTTGCCTCACATGCACAAGGTCCTGGGTTCAATCCCTAATACCATCACCACCACCAACAACAATAAAAAACCCATCCACTTAAGTTCTGCATCTTGGGAAATATCTCAATGCAGAGCCATTAACCTGAGGTGAAGACCAATATAAAGCCATGATGGAACAATACCATTGCAGAGACACCTAAAAGAAATTAGAGAAAGGACCACATTTCTATGGTAGAAGCCACACACAGAGTGGACTTATTTCCATTTTCTTATTTAGAAGTATGCTTTTTTCCAAAGTATCAGAAAGTTGTCTTGAGAGCAGTAAATCAGAATTTCCATGTAAAAACTTTATGAAATAAAAACAGCTAAAATAAATTAGCAATTACAAAGCTCTTTCTCATTTTCTAGGCAGGGAAATATCAAAAAAGAGAGACGAGTATTATCTATGGAAATAAAACTAAATTTCATGGTAATTTAAAATCTGTGATATAAGATTATTACTTATTTCAGGAAAAAAACACTTACTTGTTGTTTTGGCTCCAATCACAACCAAACACTGGAGCTGGATGTTTGTATTTGTGTAGTACTTTACCATCAATTGTTCGGATAATACTGAAATTCATTATCACATGTTAATAAGAAAAGGACATTCTAAATACATTATTTGAGGGAACAAAGTCAAAATTGTAAGTTTCAAAGATGGAATTCTAGGATAGAAGTGTTTTTGCAAATTAAAAGAAACATTTAAAAGTACTACATAAATAATATTGTCAGTTACAAATACATCTGCACAGATAATATTAATCATGGTAATTCACTTGAAGCAAATTAAGTGTGACAAATTTGTTTGGGGAATTATTTTTTTAGTTGAGGAAAAATATAACAATACATTTTAAAATATAATGATGCAACTAACATGGGCGTTAGACTTTTAGCTTTATAATTAGGTGGTTTGAGATTTATAGTATTCATTTATAAAGATGGTTGTATACATCATTACACTAAGACCTATAAGTTTTAACATTTTGATAGCATATTCAGAGAACACCCCCAATTCTCAGCTCCTGTAAAGGAGTCCACATTATTTAATTATTTTAAAAAGCTCTAGTACCCTATTCTATTATTGTCACAATGCAAGGAATATCAATTCCATTGGAAGGGGGAAGCTTTGTGTAAATTAAAGTATTATAAGTTCCAAAGGGAAAAGACACTCTTAAATGACATTAGGTCCCCCAAAACTTTTGGGGTTCCTGGTGAGTCAGGTGAATAAGACTTAGAAATATTTAGTTACTGAATGTCATTTATCAAATAACGAATGCCTTGAAAATACATGACAAACTTAACTATGTATTGCTTAGTCAAAAATTATCATGTGTATCTTTTGCAGTTTAGTATCTTCCAATTTGTAAATAGTTCCTTTAATGAAAACCATCAACTAATGTTATTAACTCTAAGAATTTTAACTTCTTGGTAAAGAATCCTTTGTTTACACAGCTTTTGTATTTTCTATGAAAATTCAAAACTGAGGATAGGAAAGTTGGATTAAGTCTAGAAAAATCCAACAAGACAAACTTCTATCTTCTTAGCAACCCTGAGTGTCTATATCTGTCAAAGATTACTATGCTAATAGCCAAAGGTAGCATAATATGATTTTTTTAAAAAAGTTTTAATACCAAGGCAATTCTTATGTAGTTTTGTATTTTTTTACATAAAAATTAAAATTTTCCTGGGGTTTAACAGAATTAAGAAAGAACATATTTCTGAAAAACAGAATCAATAAAGTTAGCTCCTTTAAAAAAATGAACTTCTCACTTGCATCACCATTTTCCTCCTGACAAAGATGTTTTAAACTTTTATAAATAATAAATCTACAAAACTGTGAACAAATTTCTAGAGCACTTGATGTCTCCTGAACTACTTCTCCCAAATGATCAAAAGTTTCCCCAAAAATGTGATGAGTCCTTCAAGTTTCCTTGAGGCAATTCAGTCTTTTAGCTGTAATTCATGTAATGTCTTCATTTAGCATGCAAATGATTGGTTCATTTTTAAAATACCATTGGATTGTTATTTGTTAATGATAAATTACAGCAATATAGTAGGTGCCTATACTGACCTGTAAATAATATTTATGATAGTTGGTATAGCTATACAAATAAGATCTCATTGATACACAATTGGAATGATAAACTGGGTCTTTCATAAACAGGATAATTTCATCATATCATACACAGTACTTACCAGAACCCATCACCACTGCAGGTTGCTATTCTTTTGGAATCTTTGTGACTCCAGGCAATGCAGAATATTCCATTTTTTCCATGCTTCAAAAAATGCAAAATTCCTATCAATAAGAAATAATTCACCCCTTTTTTCTCTTATTTATTTACTTATTCTAAGTATTGCTTTTCCATTAGGAACTTACTCTAAAAGACATTCTTGTAAATATCAGAAACCTGAATATATACTTTAAATGTGTACAGGTGTCACACTTAAACAAATCCAGTGTTTAAGGCACATATTGGATGGCTCTATTTTTTTTTTCTGAATACAGCTGAAGAATCAAAATCTGCTTCTTCAGTTATCCACAGAACTAAGCTGTGCTTAATGTCTTTTCATATGAATGCCAGTCAGTAGATGAAGATATATATGTATCTGCTTTCAAAAATAGGCTACTACAATTATAGTATACGAAATATTGCAAATAACTGTTATTACTGGGTCATCCTTCTAAGTTGCAAAAGGACTTCTAATTACAAAAGGAGACTTAAAGTTATTCCTATAATAAATCAGTCTATGTTTACTTATTCCTCTGCATTCTGGGACAACGCAATAGTCTAGGGGTGTGATGAGAATTTTAAAACACAAATATACATAGGAAGGCCATCCACTACTGTGTGATGAATGAATAAGTAAAGATTACAATCGGTCCATTTCTAAATATAAATTTAAAATATTTCTGTTTTATATGTATGTAAGTAGAATTTAAATTGGGACAGACATTAAGGGAAAAACTCAAGTGGCTTTTTTTATTTTTATTTTTTTAGTACAGGGGAGTGAACCCAGGGGCATGTAACCACTGAGCTGCATCCCCAGCCTTTTTTTTTTTTTTTTTGTAAGAGACAGGATCTCACTGAGTTTCTGAGCTGGCTTTGAACTTGAGATCCTCCTTCTTCAGCCTCCTGAGCTACAGGGATTATAGGTGAGCACCAATGCACCTGGCTAAAGTGGCTTTTTATTTTGCATTTTCAAGTTGCTTTAAAAATATACAGATTCCACTTCTTAAGGTAGTGTCCAGTTTGTCTTTACCTCTTTGGGCATCAAGGAAGGTAAATTTGTACAAGTGGACATAAAAAATATAATCCACATATTTATTTAGTTTGAGGGGTAGAGAGGCCTTCATTTTTCTTTTCCATGAAAAGGGCATTTATGGCTGTCAAATGGAATCAATGAGATCAATGAGATCTAATTCCTTGCATTTCTTTTGCGGGGACTCACATAGCTTAGTTAATTAAAGCTAGCTTTAAATTTCCTCATATTTATAGCATGGGCTTGAGGTAATTTTGATGTTGGTCTTAACTGTGATTGAGTGCTGGGGAAATACTGAATGAACCTAAGAGATGTGCTTGATACTATGAGACTGAGTTGTTAGAATCAATTGGAACTTCTTAAGTGTTAATGGGTAGATATTATAGGTCAAAAGGTGAAAAGATGCAATAAAAAGAAATCAACAAATCTGCTAAGCAAGGATACCATTTTAAAATCTTGATCAAAACTTTCATCTTCCTGCTCGTTTCTTTTATATCTCATTATTTGTTACGGGATAGATTGTTCTGGTGATGGGAACAGGTTGGGGCATTGCTGAGCTGAAAGAATATTGTTTCATTATATTTAGAGAAAGGGAAGGATATAATCCATGTCATCTTTATGAAAGTTTCTTTAAGTACAAAATTGCTTACTGGTGGTTAGAAAAGTTTCTCATAAATGCATTTGCTACATTACTATAGAACCCTCTGGGAGATCAAGGCTATGAATGCCATCCTTAATGGTATTAACAGTCTTTTGTATAAATGGTTTTAAAGTTTCAAATAAATAAATAATTTCCCAAGGCATTATATATTTAATAAGCTTCAACAGAAATTGTTTAAAATAAATTAAATTTCAAAATATTGAGACAATGCTAGATCCTATTCCTGTTGTCCCAATCATACACAACATTACAATGAGATCATATAAATTTTTCAAGTATTAATGGAACTCAGTAAAACACAGAATGATAATTTAAGCCTAAGGATAAATACAATCTGTGGCATTACATACAGGAAAAGGGCCAGTTTTAGAGCATGTCATGCAATAACAGAATTTAGGACTGAGGAAATTAAAGAAATTATGGAATAAAACTTTATAATTTTATAGGTGAAAAACAGATTCAAGACAATAAAACAGAACCAGGACTATAATTTGGGACTTCTGAGTTTAGTTTTCCTCTCATTATTTAATATTTGTCTAGCTTTAGTGGAGGATGACTTAACAGTCTTTTGAATCTGTAATGAGACTTCAGGTGAATTTTTATGTCTTAGCTATAATTCTCACAATGAATTTTAGCATGTGAATACTTCCTTGCATATTCCTCTAATTGACAGAATAATATGCCACCAGGCTATCACCTGTTGATTAAGAAAGAAAACATTTACAAAATAGGTAGTATAAGATATCATGCTATTTAGTAGTGGTAGACATAGCTTACCTCATTAAATCGCTGTATCATTTTGCCCTTTTGAACATCCCAGATAAAAGCACCATTTTGGGAAGTTGCCCCAGCAATACAATTCAAGCTGCCTTAGGAAATAATACATTAGACATTATATATTAAATATGTGCCACAAATGTAAGTCCTTTCAAATATGTAATTTTTTAATGTAAAACTTGAGATTTGTAATTTATAATTGCATATATTTATCAATGCATCAAATCTGGAGAGGAGAATACAATGAATGTATCCACTATATAACTTCAACAATTATCAAAATATAGTCAATCCTGTTTCATCTATCCTTTACTGGACATCTTTGGAACATATCTGATATATTATTTGGTTAATAAATAAATATATCTAAAAGACATGGATGGTTTTATTATCAATAACAAACTAACATAATTAAACCACAAAATTATCAATAGTTCCTCAATATTATCATATATTTAATGACTATTCTTTCTTCTTTAAAAATATTTTAGTGAGGAGAATACTTTTGTAAACAAATCACATAAAAAAAATATTTTTCAAAAGTATAAACAATACCTTCTATTTTTAAGAAATAAAATATATCTGTGAAAATAAAACTACTATTAAGTTAGCAGATGGTCAAAGACCTAAGTATTTTTTGCAAGACAATGAAAGTAGAGGTTTCTTCCCACTAGAAAGAAGGAACAGCTGTCATCTACTAGCTGGAAGTATGAACATGCAGGAATACCCTGTGATAAATTATCATGAATACTAGAAGTCATCATATTTATAGTATTTTTATTCTATTGCTCCCTTTGGGTTCTCAAATCACTTCCAAACTTTTTTACAGTTTTTTTTCTTTTCTTGGGGTATATATTCTAGAATTTGGAAGAAATTATGTAATAATCAATATCCTATTTCCATTCCTGTCAACATTGATCTTTTAAATTTCATCCACATTTACCTAAAAACCATGATTCATAATTAATCACACAGTAAAACATGACAGAATTTCCATTTTTTAACATTTTTTACTTTCTTGATGCAAATTATAAATGTAGAGAGTGAAAGACTGCTTCGGTAAGAGCAGGTCTGTGTTATAACTTGAAACAATGGTTCTCATATTCAAAATCTTTATTTAAGTTTTAAGTTTGAAACATATACATTTTGTATGTTCAGCTGATAGGCTGGTCCAGTTGCATACTGCTGGCCAGGAGAACCTGCCACACAGTTGTGTACTGCAATGATTAAGAACACAAGCTTAGGTATACTCTATTTTAATAAAGAGACAAACACCAACTATCATTAAGAATTATAAGTAAAATATTTTTTTCTAGACATCTCATTGTATATGAGAAATACAGAAAGTCCTTAACCTTTTTTTGTGTCATGAACCTCTCTGAAAATCTGATTACTATTACATTTTTTGATAGATATAGGCAAGCGTGTGCGCACACACACACACAAACACAAACTAAAAATTATTCATAAAATCTCAAGAGATTTTCAGATTCCTTGAAGACATCTAAATACCTTGGGGACACATAAATTCAAGGTTACAGAATCCCCTTATATAATGAAATAAGTTTTTTAAAAAAGGGTAAGCTATATCCTGGTTATACATTATAATTAAATTAATATATTATGACAAATAAGTGAGCATATATATTGTATAAAGTGAAAATCCATTTAAAGGTAAAACATAATTTTTATAGAAAAATAATGTCTTTGGAGAAGTGTCAGATTATGTAGGACACTTCTCCTTTATAAATAGGAAGGTATGGCCATGGTTGTACCCAGCTGTAATCCCAATGACTCAGGAGGCTGAGTTTGGCCAGCCTCAGCAAGTTAGGGAGGCCCTAAGCAACTTAGTGAGACCCTGTCTCAAAAAAAGGGCTGGGAATATGGCTCAGTAGTAAAGCACTCCTGTGTTCAATCCTCAGTATCTTAATATATAAGAAGGTATAAGGTAGCATCTTTCTAAGATTAAAGAAAAATCACATTAAGGCATAAAAATTCTTCAAAATTACAAAAGTATAATTTATATAGAATTAAGTTGTTACAGTTGAATTATTACTTGATATATAATCACCCATACTTACAAAACTGATGTGACAGGTGCAATAGTCTTTTATAATTTTTAGAAAATAAATTTTTGAGCCAGGCATGATGGTGCATACCTGTAATCACAACAACTTGAAAGGCTGAAGCAGGAGGATTGCAAATTCAAGAAGAGCCTCAGCAACTTAGCAAGACCCTAAGTAACTTAGTGTGAGACCTCAATCTCCAAAGAAATAAAAAGGGCTGGGGAAGTGGCTCAAAGGTTAAGTACTCTAGAGTTCAGTACCAAGTACCAAAAAAGAAAAAAAAATAGTTTTTATTTTCACAAATTTGGTTCACATAAAAATTTCAGGAAATCTTTTTTTTTTCATGTAAAACATCATACCTTTAACCACATAGCTATACAAATATTGTAAAAGTCAAGTTCATTCAGGTTTACTGTGGCTTTTCTTTGTATGACTCTTTTTTTTTTTTTTTTGTGGTGCTGGGGTTTGAACTCAGGGCCTTTACGCATGTGAAGCAAGCACTCTACCAAGTGAGCTATATCCTCAGCCATGACCATATAATTTTAAAGGGCTCAGGAATCAAAGTGTCTCTGCCAATATTCATTTTAAAACCTAACATGAACTGAACTAACCAAACATTGGTACTAATTTGCCTCTATGATCATTTGGAACAAAAGACATCTGGAGTCAAAAAAAGATAATTCAAATGAAAATAAAGTTTAGGAAAGTCACTTAATTGCATTCCTATTTTAATAAAATGTTTCTTACCTGGAGCCCATGAAAGGGAATAAATAACCCCTTCATTACCCGGGGAAGTATACATTGCTGTTAATGTGTTTATATCCCAAACTTTTATAGTACCATCAAATGAAGCTGTTGCTAAAAGATTCGGATCATCAGGTTTAAATTTGCAGTCAAAGATAGTTTCCACATGTCCCTGAGAATGCAGTATAAAAAAGTCACAACTACTGAGGAAAATCTACATTACTAAAAAACAACCCATAATGTATAATTCAAAGTATATGATACATATAATATGATTTCCAGATATTAATGCAAATATACATAGGCAAACAAAAAATATAAAGTGGAATCATTGCTAGGGTTTAATGTTCTTTGTGGTGTTTTATTCCAGGTTGCATAACCCTTAACCAAAATGCTTGGACCAGAAGTATTACAGATTTCAGATTTTGAAATGTTTCATATACATAATGAGATATCTCTGAGATACAATTCAAGTCTAAGTATGAAATTCATTTATGTTTCATAAACACCTTATATGCTTAGGCTGAAATAATTTTATGGAATGTTTCTAGCACATGTGACTTTTTACTGTAACCTTACAAGTCACAGATGACCTGTCAACTGTGAGATTTTCCACTTGAGGCATTATTTTATTAACATTCAAAATACTTTCAGATTTCAGATTTTGCAGTTAGGGATGTTCAACCTGGATTTTGTACAGACCTGGATTTTACTAAACCACAGTTCTTCAAATCAGCAACTAAATTCAAAGATGTTCAAAAGTTTCATTTTTCAATTTTAATTAAATGCAAAACATTCTTCTGATTTTTGAATGTACAGAATCCTAAGCTAGACATTTCTCCTCTGCCCAGTACTAGAGATTTAATCCAGGAGTGGGTTAACTTCTGAGTCACATCCTCAGTCTTTTTTATTTTTTGTTTTGAGACAGGGTCTAACTAGTTGCTTAGGCCTTGCTAAATTGCTGAGGTTGGCCTCAAACTTGCCATTCTCCTGCCTCAGCCTTTCAAGTCTCTGGGATTATAGGCATATGTCATTTTATCCAGCCTAAAGTAATTAACTCTTAATAGTTATTATATATAATTCTTGCAGTATAACATAAGACAACAAGGATGTTGAAGCTATAAGCCCATTAATGAAAATATTCCTTTTTCATACAAATGACATACCCCAAAAGCATTTTGAATTTCAGCAGATATAGAATCAGACATGGCTCCAAATTTTAATGGAATTTTTTCTAAAAATTTCTAAAGTCTACTCTTTGGGATTTGGAATAATTGTTAATGTTACAGGGTGATTCCGATTCCAAACACCCACGAGAGTGTAAAGTGGTATATATTACAGATACATGTAAACATATACCCGGAAAGTGACAAATAATCACTATGTGCCTATCCAACATCTGTTAAAAACCAACTTAAGTTAAGCCAGATTTATATTTTGTCTTCTTCCAAATATTAGGAAATGGAAATTAAAATTCCTGCTTTAAGCAGCAGAACTGTAATATGTTGGGATTGAGGGAGGGAGTTAAAATACAAGGACAAGGCTTTCTATTCCTCAACAATGTTGTAAAGATAGAGAAGGACATCCTTTCTACTCCGTGTATTTCTATTAACACCAGAAATCACAACCCTTAGGAAAATGCAGAAGTTCTATAAGGTCTCTCACTTAGGTGAAGGTGTTGGAAAGAAAAATCCCAAAGGTTAGAAAAAAACGAAATGAAATTGTTATAGCCACTGGTTCACCTGGCTGGAGTTGTTCTAGCTGGCCTTTTCTCATGATAAGAACATACTTAAGGCAGTAATTGTCTACACGTGCACTTTTAAATGTTATTTTACTGTTACACATTCAAATTCCATTTTGAAATTCTGAAAATTCACCTAGAAGAAATTAAATAGAAATATTTTTTCTGTATTCTTCTAACCAAAAGGAAAGTAAGGATAAAGAGGAAAATAGTTTTTTTTTTCTTTTTGGTAGTTTTAAACAGATAAACATTATTATGGAAATAGTCTTTTATAATGTATAATGGGATTATGTAAACGGAATCTTTGGAGGAAATATTTCTTCTAGTAATATTCCTAGTAATTTCAAATTTGTAGCAGGGTTAAAAGAATGTTATAAGGAGAAAAATGACAGCCTCTTTTGACTGAAAGATATTTTTAAAAGGAGAAAAGTCACTAGAATAACACAAAAACTTTTAGTATTAATTAGATTTTCAAATTTAACATAGGTTTTCAAATAAAATGTTTAAATATGAAACATTTAAACCTATATATTTAATAGAAAATTTATTAAATTCAATTGCATGATTTCTCTTCTACTAAAGCACATTTTATATATTTCAAGGTGTTACATTTTTCTCTCTTCCCTGTTATAAATTTGTTTGAAAATTAATGGTAATTTAAAGTATAGAAAAAGTTTCAAACTGGGAAAGAGTTTTAAAAAAAGTTAAAGTAAAAATAAAATTAAATCATTTTCAAATAAACATCTAAAAAAGAAATATTTTAAAATAAATAAGCTACATATTATTTCAGAAATATTTTTGATAGAGTTCAATTTAATTTTTTAATTTAATTTTTAAATTTGAGAACAAAATGAAAGGAGCAGTATTAAAATGATCCAATCTTATTTAGTTCTTCTTTTATTAAAAGCTCAATTTAAGTCTAGAGTCCATTCCTAAGATCACAAAAAAGTAATTAACAACAAAGTTTCTTAAGTGTCTAGATTAATCTATTTCAAACCTGTTGGTAACAGGATCATTTTTATAATGAAGGGAGATGAAGGAAGATGATTTTTGATGAATGAATTACAACATAAAATCCATTATTGCATGTTTTCATTCATTCAGTCAACAAAACTTAAGTCTTACTATGTGCTAGGCACTGTACTGGGTAGTGGGGATGCAAAAGTGTAAAAACACAAAGAGACTGTATTGCATCTTATATCAGGGCTTAATGATGATAAGAACAGAATTCATAGAATTATAGAAGAGTTATTATCATTCATTCATAGAAATGAGTCTTATAAAACGCCTAATCCAATTTTACTCAATTCATAGAGGAAATGAAAACAATAAGGTTTGGAATAACTGACAGGGATTGATTTCTTTCCTCCTGAAGCAATATTCTATGTCTTATTTTGCTTCTAACTTTTTTTTTCCTCTTGTTTTGCAGGGGCTGGAACTTAGAGCCTCACTCATGCTAGGCAAACACTCTACCACTGAGCTATATCTCAAGCTCCTGCTCTGTATTTTTTCACTACATAAAACACACCGTTAGCAGGCATTAATATTTTTAAGTTTATTTATTAACATTTAAATAATTTTAATAATTTTGTCATTATTCTGTGCATTTTCAAATGTTTCAGTCAACTAAGAAAAAGTCTTAAAAAATCACTGCTTACAAAAATAATTTTAAAGAATATCAACACAGAGGCAAAAGTAAACATGATAGATTTATGCAAAGTTAAGTGTTTTTTGTAATAGAAGGAATGATCATAGACATACCAAGTCCCTAAGAAAATCCCACTTCTTGGCTCCCATATCATAGAGACCAACTCCACCATCTAAGAAACAGCACACTGCATGACCAGGAGGAAGAGAAAATGCTTGATTCTGTGTCAAACTAGGGGGTGGAACTGCTTCACTTGTTGAGGATGTATAATGATTTTTGTTTGAAGACTGGATTGAAACTAAAAAAGAAGATGAATAAAAAAGTAAGCATCTATGTCAATAGCTTCCCAGTATAATGAAACCACGGTCTTAATTTAAAGATGCTTCATTGCTTCATTTTGTTTTAAAATCCAGAATCTATATCAATAATCACAATTTCTGCTACATGAGCACTTTGGCAACATTATCCAGAAAATGTGGAAATATAAGCATAGAACTGGATTTTATTTTGAAAAGGTGTATAGGAGAGCAGATGGACTGAAATGGATGAAAGTTAATGTGCAAGGAATCACAATCTGTTGTGAATATTTGGTTTCTTATCTCCCCATAAATTAATGCACAGCATAATTATTTTTAAATATAATCTCCCTTTAAAATATTGACATAGCATTTTAATATTCTCCCCTCCACATTCTACATGTATTGATTTTTTCTTCTTAAAGCTAATAATTCTTTGTCACTAAATTCCAAGTGAATAAAAACAATTATTTTTGAGATTATTTATAATTCAGCACTCAAAATAAGAATCACAAGAGTGTCTGCCTTACATTTGCATCTCAATTATTATTATGAGAGAGAGAGAGAGAGAGAGAGAGAGAGAGAGAGAGAATTTTTTTAATGTTTACTTTTTAGTATTTGGCAGACACAATATATTTGTTTGTATGTGGTGCTGAGGATCAAACCCGGGCTGCACGCATGCCAGGTGAGTGCGCTACCACTTGAGCCACATCCCCAGCCCTCAATTATTATTTTTTCTTCCTCAGTTTTTTTATTTTTCTGACTTCTGTTTCTCTTATTTTCCATTATATAAATATCTCCTTGTTCAGTTATTTTTTTGTATTTTTATCTTTCTAGATTTTTCTTAAGAGTATGACTATTTTCTTGCAAACATAATCCAAAATAATGATGCCACTATAAATTATCAGATCTTTCTTTTTTAATTGAACTACAATAAAGTTTTCCTTATCATATTCATTATAGGCAATACTCATTTCTCTGAACCTGAGAGTGATAGGAAGTACAAATTAGACTGAACAATGAATAAAAAAGAGACATTTGGTAGCAATAGTTTTGATAAAATATTTCTGAGAGTTGAGTTAAAAGTTAATATTATCCATGACTATTTTTCTAATATTTTTATTATTTGATATCATGAGTGGTCTTGATGACATTTATACATTAATTTATAATTTATTACTTTTAAAACTCAGTGAGTATGTCCATATTTTAAAATTTTATTTTCATAAATGTCTAACAATAGGTCATCCAAAAGGCAATACTCAAAAATAACAACATTGACTTAATTTTATATTCTGACTTTTGTCTGATGGATACAGACTTCTTTTTGAATAAGAAAAAAAATATCAATGAAAAGAATTTGAGATATCTCAATCATTATGTGATATGGAAATTCACATCCACTGAGCAAAGTAACAAATCCTGAAATAAAAATGTATGAAATATAAATGATATGCCAGCTTTGGGTATGTCACCTCATCAGTCCTGATATTTCTAGACTCTCAAGTTTCCAGTCTAGAAATCTAAAAAAGCTGAAATTTGTGGAAAGTCCAACGATTCAAATAGAGAGATTTTTCCTTTATGTACCACTGTCAACTAAATTAGATACCAAAATAATATTACTTTAAGTAGTCACTACTAATTATTAGTATATTATAAAGGTAAAAAGGCTTGAGTAAGGAGGAATCAATAGCTGTAGATTCTCCAAACACAAATTCCCCCCCTCCATGTTTTTTATGATCCATGCCAAATGGAAACATTACCATTTGCATAGTTTAATCATGACAGACCTAAGAGGAAGTCAATTTATTTTCTCTTACCTTTAATAAAAATTCCAATTTTGAACTTCCTCTACGTTCCCTATCTTGTCGTTTATAACTTAAGTGTGCTTTATTATTTTTCTTAATTATAGAAGCAATGAATGATAATCAGAAAAAATATATGAAAATAAATGAAGAGTATATAGAATGCCCAGTTCTAAATACTAATCCAGTGAAAAACAGGCTTCAAACATGAAATATATTTTCTAGATTCCATAATTTGAATATTTAGGTTATTTTATCTTTGTTATAAACTATACAGATGGTAAATGAGCCATGTTTAAAACAAATTCTCCTAGTTAAACCAATTTTGTTTTATCCCATTATTCTTAATATTTCTAACTTGTTTTAAAAACTATCATTATTTCATCTTCCTCACAGAGATAATTTAAGATTATTTGAATACAATTAACAGCACTTTGGCTCCAAATATTGTAAACCTAGGGCTGGGGTTGTGGCTCAGAGGTAGAACACTAGCCTAGCACATGTGAGACACTGGGTTCTATCCTCAGCACCATGTAAATATAAAAAGTAAAAAAACAAAATTTAAAAAAAAGAATCTATACTTATTGAAAAAATATATTGTCAGTAATATTAGTTATTTTGTGGCTTTGGTAGTTCCTTTATTTTCTTTACTGCATCTATATATACACACGTATATATCTGTAGAGAATATATCTATAAATCTGAAGAGAATATTTCTAAGAAATTGCATCTCAGTTGCATTTATTATTTGATACATTTATATCACTACACATCACTTTAATAAGAAATATAATTTAAAATATTAACATTTTGATAATATTTTTACTTACACTTTTTTCTTGGAGGAGAATTAAGTACATGTAAGCAGTGAAATCCCGTTTTCTTTAATTTAAAATTATCAATAGGTGTTGTTCTTGAAACATTCCAAATGCGTAAAACACCCACTTGAGAATCTAGTCAGATGATGAATAAAACAAGTGTTAACAAATATTGTTCAAAATTTAAAATGTCCAGATGTAAAAATAAAAACAAAAACTTCCATTTGCAAAATTTTAGCACTGATTATTGACATGGTTCGAACAATAATATAGTATGGTATTGCAATCAAAGAAACTACAAAAATGTTATTCAATTTTTAAATCTGGAGCTATTTTTCTCCTGCTACAAATCCTTTCATAGGGTTAGACTCTGCCTACTTTTTCAGCTTCCCGTGGTAAAGATCATTATAACAGTTTTATCACAAAACCATTCCATTGACATACACTTATTCTAGGAAACTGTTAGCTACAGAAAACTATTTACTTTTTTAAAATTTTTTGTTTTAGTTGTAGACGGACACAATACCTTTATTTTATTTACTTATTTTTATGTGGTGCTGAGGATCGAACCCAGTGTGTCACACGTGCAAGGCAAGTGCTCTACCACTGAGCTATAACCCCAGTCCCAAAACTATTTACTTTTAACCATTATATAATCCTTCCTATTTTGAAATGTTTGTAAATTGCTCCATTGTCCATGTTCATCTCAATAAGGATTTTCAAATATACTTGAAGACCAACAGAAAGTCTTCCTTCCAAATATCCTACCCTAATAGATACTTTGATAAAGAATCTGAAAAGTTCCCCAAACTTTCAAACAGAATTACCATATGACCCAGCAATTCCACTCATAGGCATATACTTAATAGATTTATAAATATATGTCTACACTAAAACTTATACATAAATGTTTGACAATATTTTTCATAAAAGCATAAAATAGAAACACTAAGTATCTATGAATAAAAATCTGGCAAATCCACATAATGGAATATTATTGAGCCATGAAAATGAATGAAGTACAGATACATGCCACAATATGCATAAAACTTCAAATATTTGTTGAGTAAAACATGGCAATAAAAGGTCACAAATGGAATGATTTCATTTATATTAATTGTCCAGAGTAGGCAAATCCACAGAGATAGAAAGTAGATGATCAGTTTATGTATGACCATGGGTATGTTAGGGGCTATTGAGAAGGAGTAATGGAACATGGCTGTTAATGGGTACAGGGTTTGCTGGGAGTCATGAAATGTTCTGGAATTGGATAGTCATAATGGTTGTACAACTTTGTAAATGTACTAGAAACCAATGAATTGTATCCTTCAAAACTGGAAAATGTTATGATAGGTGAAATATCTCATAAATAACAACAATAGATACATGCTTTTATTCATTAACTCCTGTTAAATGACAGGATGTGTGTGTGTGTGTGTGTGTGTGTGTGTGTGTGTGTATCCATACATCTACTTCCATCTACTTCTATGTGGAAATTAAGTACTAAAGAAGTAAAGAATTTCTTTAAAAATGTTGAGGTGATAAAAATCTTATTTGTTTTGTACTAAGCAAATGTAAGAAACATTTATACAGTAGCTGAAAGTACTATTTCTTCAGAGGCCTCTTTCTCTGAACCATTTTCAATTTGGGTTGAAAACCTTTGGGTCTGCCGAAGCGAATCTGGTCAGGAGCTATCAAAATTATTAGTGAGGCTGATGGAACTCCTATCTAGGCAAACTGTTTTTCTGGTCATCCTGCCATTCCTGAAGTTAAACTTTGTCTTCTGTACACACATAAACACAGATACACATGTGTGCCCATACATAATATATCACACACTGTATTTCCATATACTTAGAACACTGGGTCTTAATTTATTTTTATCTATAATTATATAAATGACATAACCATACAAATTAAAAGTAAATTCAGCATTTACTATATTTAAAGAAAATATTTGAGAAATTAACAAGTCTTACACAAATTAACTACTAAATTAACTATAATTTCCCTTATTCAATTAAAGAATGTATACATAAATAACATTTTGAGGTGTAGGGATGAGTATACCTCCAGTTATAAACATGCCAGGAGCACTGGGAACCCAGGCTAAGCACTGTATAGAAGCTGCTACACTTGGAAAATTAAATGTTGTTATGCAATAAAGTGATTCAGAATCTACTAGGCGAATTCCATAATGCAAATTAGCCACGAGAAGATAATCAGTAGAGAGTGGGTCCCATTCCAGGGCTGTAATTGGATCTTCTTCATCTGTTCCTTCAAGAGATTCAGGTCTCAAAACATGTTTCTGATTTTTATTACCTATTAAAATATAAAGAAAATTATTTCTCAAAGAGTCACAAGAAGGTCAATAATTTAAATCATGTTAATTTTCTCCTTGTGTACCACCAATCTCGGGGAGGCCTGAGAATGCAAATCTGGCATTTTTATGCAGAAGGTATAATTCACATATAAATGCAGGGGAATTAGTTTGTCCAAATAATGAAGGTCAGACTGAACTGCTTTGCTTTGGAAATCTCTAGTGCCTTAAATGTTTCTATTTGTGAATGAAAAGCTATAAGAAAAAGACACAGGTAAATAATGTACTTAATCTTTTCAACAAAAAGTTCACCTAATTAATACTACAAAGGAATAGGAAAGTCCTTATAGAAATGAAGAATATCAAACAGTGATTAAAAGCACAGACCTTGAGACTAAGAGGATGATGATGATAATTGCTATAATAAAGAGTGATGTATATTAATATAGTTAATTATTACAAAGTAGAGAGTGATTTAAAAAAAAGAACTTATTAATCAAAGCTTTACCCTTTCTTAAGTAAATTTGTGGCTTTCTTGTCAGTCAATATTTATGATTTATTAAAAATATTCTAGCATATAAAACAATCAAATGACAGCAACACAAAATGGGAGAATTTGCAGTTTAATCCTATAACATCTAAATTAGGTTGCTTCAAAGTCCTATCCTATAGTCAAAATCACAGTGGATTATATTTCCTATTTCATTTTCTATCTGGTAGGCTGGTATTTTTATTGTAAAACAGAAATAAATCTATAAAATTTTGCAGGCAGTCATGGGAACAGCAGGTTATTGTTTTACTTTTATGTTATCATGTTAATACTCTATTTTATTATGCAAAATCAGGTAATTTGTCTTGTTATATAAGGACAGAAGCATATGATATGAATAAATCAATAAGAAGATAATTTTGACAATTTCTACAGAAAAATTTAAAATGAAAGCAAGGAAAAATTGGGATTAAAATATAAGGATAATATAGTCATATAGCTGTCAAAATTTTGATTTTGAGATAAGGTGGATAAAGCAAAGAGGAAATTATCATGAAAGGCTGTACAATTCACAATGTCTCTAGGATAAAAACAAAAAGAATAAACAAAAAATATACTTAGGAGAAGCACAATTTTTCCTACATTTGGGATCAGAAATATCTTCTGTGTGCTTTAAAAAGGTAGACAGTGTTACACAGGGATAATGTCATTAACAACATTTCTAAAATTAAAAACATGTAAATCTTATTAATGCATATTCATGAAATAGTAAATGAATGGCCAATTAGACACTCTACAGTGAATGATAAAAAAGGAAGTTCTTTGCTGAACTTGGTCTAAAAACACAATTTGAATTAACTAAAAAAGCTTATAACATTTTCTTCCCTCCAATACTCTTTTTTTAAAAATATTGTTTAGTTATTGATAGACCTTTATTTTATTTATTTGTATGTGGTGCTTGAAAAACCAGCCTCTACCTCAGAGCAAAGCCTGTCCAAGGAAGGGACATCACCTTTGTACTTGGAAAAACCCACAGAGCACTCCTAGGCACATTCCCACCCTGCTAAGTAGTTTATCTACAAATAACAGGAGAGAACTGCTGTGCCAGGTGTCCCTGACTCAGGCTAGGTGGAGATCCATAGCAATCCCCTAGCAGCCACCAATCAGCATGAGACAGGGAAACACCTGGGATGCCAGATGACCCTTCCAGTAGTTTATGATGGTTGATAACATGTTGGGAAACCACGTAGTTCAGCATGTACACCCCTCTTGGCTTAAACCAATCAGTTCAAATGAATACCCCTTTTGTATGACCAATCACCCTTACCCAATTTGTTCCCGCCAGTGAATGTGCTAATCATGTTTTAGAGTTGTTATTTGATTTTCCCGAGGTGTGTGATGATTTGCTAAGAGATGCTATGATGTATGTGAAGTCCTTGCCTTCTCCAAAGAATATATAAAACTGCTGCAAACCCTGGGCTCGGGGCCTCTCAGCGTCACCAGTTGCTGTGTGCGCGCAGAGGACTGAGTTAGCTCGCAATAAACACCTCTTTGCTGTTTACATCGATCTTGGTCTCTGGTGGTCTTTTGGGGGTCCCGAATTCGAGCATAACAGTGCTGAGACTCAAACCCAGTGCCTCACACATGCTAGGCAAGCAAGCTACAACTGAGCCACAACCCCATCACTCCTACAATACTTTTTAAGAGAATTTTTACATGAAAATACTATATATAAATCAGAATAAAATGGTGCTTTCTAGGCTGAAAGGGAACAGAGGGCTTAGAGTCCATCTGGATTTCCTAACAAGTCCCTTATCCCCAATGTACACATAAATATACAAACATACAAAACACAGTTTAGAAGTGAAATATTTAAAATGATAGATGAAATGCATTTTATATTGAACAATAGTCCATAAATATTTTTCTAATAGAAATTTCAGACAACAGAGAGCTTGAGATCATAACTTCCTGAAATAACCTAGAAGACAGAAATCCTATATTGTAAAATGGGAATCATCTATGATGCCATAAAGTCATTTAGAAGGTATAGTTGACAACGTCTCATAAAAATAAGAAGCCTAACAAAACCTTACAACTATTAATGCTAACAATTCCAAAGTCACAATCCAGAATTCAATGACAGAATTAAAAGGTAGAGCTTCCCCATGATCTATTAACTCAATGTCTACACAAAAGGAAAATACCTAGTAGAATTTATCTTTTGTTAATGTTTTATGTATTTTTATGCTAAATAAATCCCACAGGATAAATAAAGTTAAGAAGTCTGTGGGGGTGCTGAGGTTGTGGCTCAGTGGCAGAGCACTTGCCTTGTACATGTGAGGCACTGGGTTCGATCTTCAGCACCATATAAAACTCAATAAACAAAATAAGTATTGTGCCCATGTATAACTAAAAAAATTAAAAGAAAAAAAAGACTGCTGGGGCTTTAGCTCTGCTAGGCAGAGCACTTGCCTAGCACTTGTGAGGCACTGGGTTGGGTCCTCAGCACCTCATAAAAAATAAACAGGGCTGGGCACAGTGCACAGGCCTGTAATCCCAGTGACTCAGTCGGCTGAGGCAGAAGGATTGCGAGTTCAAAGTCAGAATCAGCAACTTAGCAAGGCCCTAAGCAACTCAGTGAGACCCTGTCTCTAATAAAACATTTTAAAAAAAGGACTGGAGATGTGGCTGGATGGTTAAGTGCCTCTGGGTTCAATCCCTTGTATCAAAACAAACAAACAAATAACTAAAACAAAAAATAAATAAAAATATGTAGTTGTCCATCTATAACTACAAAAAAAAAGTCTGTATGCATTCAAATTTTTATTCCCTCTCCCTAAATGAAATTGTTGAAATCCTAACTCTAATACCTGTAAATTTTTGTAAATAGGTTTTTTGCAAATGGCCAAGTAAAGAGGAGGACCTTAGGATGATTGCGTCTTTGTAAAAAAAGAAAGTGTGAACACAAACACATATTAACAAACAATGGAAGATTCCAAGTGAAGATGGGTGTCAGGTTGCCAATAGTCCAGGAACTATCAGAAGCTTTCAGAGACCTAAAATAGATTCTCCTTATCATCAGGCAAGCATGGTCCTATAACACCACATTTTCATACTTAAGTTTTCCTTGTTCTAAGCCACTCAGTTGGGTACTTTTTTTTTTTACATCAGCCCTAATACGTTAACATATGGGTAGATGAAGAAAAACAACCCTGATGACTCAGGTACAGATGCACAAATTGGAAAACAGTGACCTCTTCAAGAAGCCACATCAGTCTGCTCAAATATTTTACTTTCTATCCTGATATAAATCTAGGTCAGAGAAAAACAAGGGATCTCTTTACTCTTCCCTCATTTCTTATGTGGAAATAAGCATATGATGTCTCAATGTTTTATGTCTTAGATATATAAAATAATGTCTCAGTATCCATGATTTTCATACCTTCAAAGAGGCCTAATAGTAATAATATAAGAAAAAATAAAGCCTTAGTCAATGAAAAAGGAGATGGCCATAACGACAAATCACAAAATATAAGAAAAACAGAGACAGAATTTTAGACACCCCCCCAAACAAAACAAAACAAAACAAAACACTGTTCATAATCCTCTTCAGAACTTAGGCAGCATTGAGATTCCTTGAGAAAAAAGTGTCACCATACTGATGAAATCTCTGGGTTAAAGACACCAGAAGCTAAATTGGGTAATATCCTTAATGAGATCTGGTTAAATAACTCAGAAAGCAGAGAGGTAAGAGGAGAAACCACACAGCATACAGCCATTTGGCTGTACATATATTACCTCCTAAAATTCTCAGAAGAGTGAGCATAGGAGAGAAAAGTGATCTTCACAAGGTCAAAGCAGAGAAAGTATGTTAGTTTCCTTGCTTAATTTAACTGTGAGCCTTAATGACCAACTCTACAACAGACTTTGCTCCCAATGTAGAAGATATTGTGAGGAAGTGATGATTCAGGTATTCAAGACAAAAATTTAAATGAAACAATAGCCATTGAACTCTCCTCAACCTAATCTACCAAGTACATGAAATGGTCCCTATGTTCAATTCGTTTAACTAGAAAGTGAACAGAGGGTGTGTACAAAGAACAGAGGGGGAAATTGGTAAAGAAAAATATTTGTATCTATTTTAGATTCTGTTTAAATTGTACTAAGATATAATGGCTTCAGTTTACCAATATTTTATATAATCCTTTCTTAAATTAAAAAAGTTACTTACTAAAGAAAGATTTATTTAAAGTTCCAATTCCTTCTGTACAATTTTAATTTCTTTTTCTATTAATTTCAGGTAATTTGAAATGTAATGTTTTTTAAAAGTAATTATCGCTTCCTGAAAAAGTTCTTTTATCTATCTAGCTATCCAATAGTCACATACAGAAACAGAGATGACAGAAGGCTAAAAATAGTTTTTCCAAAAAGTTAACAATGCTTATCTAGAGGATAGAGCAATTCAGGTAATTTTTAAGATCATACTTTTTGTTACTGCCTAAATTTTTAAAATGAATAAAAACTAATTTCTCAAGTCCTTTCATTCAGCTAAATTAATGAACTAGGGGTTCAAAGAGTTACTATGTGTTTTTATGATAGGTTTAAATCCATTTTTAAGGAACCATGGAACCAACATGTTTATCAGCAGGTGAGAAAATATTTTGGAGGGTTTTAGTAAATCATCATATCTTTCAGCAACATGTTCTTGTTCATTTAGTTTCATTTAGTTCATGTTAGTTTCTTAGTCAGAAATAAAGAATTGACTTAAAAATTATAAATATTGGGAAAATGACTGATTTGGATAAATTCAAAACAAGACTTTTACAATCAAGTGAAATTACAATGCCTACAAATAAAATTTACTTCAATGACTATTTGGAGTCAGCCCAATTTTAAATAATATTTTCAGAAATAATATTTTAAAATTAAAATTTTGTTACTGTTCACTCTATATATTGTACAATATATAGAGTGTTAAAGGTTTGGCCCCCAACCCATGGCATTATGCGGAGGTAATGGAACCTTTAGAAGGAGGGGCATTGCTAAAAGGTCAATGAGTCATATTCACAAACATATTTGTGGAACATCACACTTCCCTCTTTTTGTTTCCACATGCTCCCACTAGGATATACTATGTCACCAAGCAATGGAGTCATTTGGTCATAAACTGAAACTTTTAAAACTGTGAGCCAAAATACACCTTTCTTCTTTTTAAGCTTATTTGTCTCAGATACTTGTTATAGTAATGGGAAGCAAACTAATACATGCATGTAAATAAGAAAGCATATCTTATATAAAATATATAATTAAGAAACTAGACTCATTAAATTCTTACCTGGCTGAAAAACTGATAGACTTCCATCGATATGACCAAACACAACTTTCCCCTTTTTTTGTGTATGCCATCTGAAAATACAGATATCAGACAAGAAGCTATGGGCTTCCTTGTGTACAGTTACTCCACTATCTGGTCCTGATATGGTCCAAATGAATAGTGGGCCTCTGTGGGAAACAAATGCTACAGCATCATCTGCATTCCAGCACCAGCTAAGAGAGGCAGGCACTCCTGGAATAAATTAAACACAGATACTTAATAGAAAGATATAACACAAGATTGTACCATTAAATATGCCTTGTACTGTACATTTTTAAAACTAATAAAAATTCAAAAGTATGTTCATTATTTTAAAAATACATTACTTTCTTATTTTTGAATAGGATTTATAAACTAATCCCCCAAACTACAGAGACTATATGTAGAAACGTTCAGAATGAAAGGAAAAATACCTGCTTCGGTTCAAATATTAATAAAATTGTCATGTTTCATGTACTCAAAGAAATTTATAGAGTTCCTTAATTTAGTACACTATATATTAAAGCAACAAATACTTATTATGTGTATCTAAGATTTCTAGACATCCTAGATATACAATGCAGTATGAAATAAAGTAAAGGTTCTGAAATATAAATTGAGGAGAATGAGATAAATGCATAAAGAGATCAATGCTACTATAAAGATTTAATAATAACAAACAATGCTACAGTCTATATTGAATTTAGATTCAAATTCTAGCTTTGCCTCAGATGAGCTAAAGAAATTACTTTCTCTAAACTTTTGTTACCTCATCTATAAAATGGAAATAATAATAAAATTGACTACTTATTTCACATGAATGTTAAGAAAATATAATAATGTATGTAAAATTACCTTTTATATCATAAATAAAATACAAAAGTTAATTGTTAACAATTTCAAATAATAATAATAATAATAGAAGAAAATACTTATGTGGTGACTTACTGTGTACAAATACTTTTAAGAGTTTTGCAAATATCAACATTTAATTCTCCCAACAATATTCTGAGATAAGTAAAAATTAATATTTTCCTTTGGCACTCAACATGTGACATTTTTAAAACTGGTGACAATTTTAACATTTTAACAATTGGACAAACTAATACTCATTTTTCTTTAAACCTGTTGTTTATTAGGAAAAAGAAAAATGAAGTGAAAACTACTGAGGAAAGATCAAGGTCAAGTACTACATGTAGAGGTTAAAAAGTTGAATTAATGCAAATTTCTATTTTGCTTAACTTGAATTCTAAAAAAAAAATGGTGTCTTAAGACATTCAAAATGGGATATTTAAAATGAAAATGACTAAAAATGTTCATATTTTTCTAAATACAATATTGAAGCTTTTAGTCTTCAAATAAGGTAATTGTAAATAACATGGGAAAGTTGAATTTTCCAAAGAAAGCAATTATTTACCAAAATTGCTACTACAATAATTTATTATTCTACCACTATTAATTGAAAATCTTGTTTAATTTTGTTTAATTATATATCGGGTGGCAAAGGAAATTATGATACACTCAACTGATGAATTTAAAAAAATTCTTTCCCTCATAAAAGGATATAATGTGTATGATGATATGATAAACCTTTAGCTAAACTAGGTGATAATACAATTATAGGTTGTCTAATCTGTACTCTTGTATAATATTTAGAAAAATGTTTATTTGCAATTATAGGCTGATGTAGATTTGGGGTTACAACTTAATGGAAATAATGATATGCAACATTTTAGTTTATTTCATGTAAAATTTTAAAAAACTTAAAGAATTTGAAAATTAGAAAAAAACAGGTTATGTGAATTTGGGAATTAAATGCACATTTTTTATAAATGAAAATCAACCTTATTTGGTAAATAACTTTAAGATGATGACTGAAAAACAAAATTGATATCTTTTAACTGATAATTTTCAGCATATTTAATTACCTAAATTTGAAAAGACAAGAAAAGCAACATAACAAGTATATTAAATATATCTAAAGGTTTTAAAAGGCATTATTCTTATTATGGAAGCAAAATTTTAATTGCCTATGAATTCCTAATATCATTGCTACATACCCACTAAAAAGAAATTTTGAATAAAATAAAGTTAGTAAAATTGTCATATCTCACTTATCTACTTTATTTTCATTAATTGCAGAGAAAAGCTTAATATAGAAAATATATCCAGCATTATCTTACAAAATCATAATCAAGTGAGCTATATGCTTGGTGCTCAGAAAGAGTTCATTATTACAACATTTACTATTATGATAATTATCATCATTATGGGTTAAGATTAAATAGGAGTTCCAAATGATAATTAGAAAGAATATGACATTATCCAAATTCACAACGATCTATTTGTTGTTTGAACTAGGACTTTCTACCTTGACTGAATTACACATAAAGGCATGAAAACAGTTAAACAATACATTAAATACATTCAGAATATTGTCTGCATTATTAGGAGGAAATAAATACACTAGTAAACAGGCAAGGCTTTTTACTTGTCCCATTAAGAATATCTTTTCTAATTATTGTTTTCATATTAGTTTTGAAAGTTTTATATTTAAAAATTAATAAAATGATTTGGTACTAAGTTTTTATCTTATGTTCCAAGTATAATTATTTCATGAAATTTTATTTCAAGTTTTGCACACATGTACAAACATGTGAAATATATTTCTTATATCAGTTACTATTAGAAATTTTAAAACACAATTTTAGAAACCTAAATTAATAAAACTAATTGTGCTTGTTGAAATAAAAGGTTTTATCCAATAAGATAAATTTCAATAATAAATGTACCTTTTGTATTGTCGAGTTTAGCAATGACTTTTTGTTCTGCAACATTCCAAATGATCACTAAATTATCGGTACTGCCACTTGCAAACAGATCAGGATTATGTGGACACCAAGAGATTGCTGTAATTGTTTTTTTATGTTCAGACATAATTGCATAAAGTTTGAATTCATTATAACGGTGATCCAACTAAAACAAAATAAATAAAACATTTTAGTACTTTTTTAAAATAATGCATTATCCATTAATAATCACGTTATATAAAAAAAGCTACATACATAAAAATTATTTCACCTAGTAATAAATAGATGAACAAATTTTAAGTCTTGGTCTATTTAAGTATATTTGATCAGCAGAAAAAAACATTTGGGGTAAAATGAGAGAATGAAAAATAAAACATAAATTAAAATTAATGAAAATGTTTTACATTCAAATGCACAAGAATTCAGAGCTTTATTACATTTTCCATGGCTATATCCATTTATGAAGAGTAAAAAAACCTCTTGGTTTTGGAATTTAAAAATTAAACTATGTTGTACCAAAAATTAGGATTTTTAAATAAATCAAATGCTTATCCCTATATTATTAAGATATACAACTCTTCCAGAGCAATGAATCCTTAACCCTTTTTGTGTCATTTTTTGAATTAGGTTGTATTTTTATATGTAAGTGAATAAAATGAATAGCCCATATTTTCCTGTTTCATTTGAAAATGTGCCTGAATTAATTAGTAGATTAAGTAATTTCTCTACCTTTTGTATCATGTTTTGGATTGTACTATATGTGTCATCTTGTAGTGATCATTTCAGGGTTACTGAAAGTTTTAAAAATCAATATTTATTTAACCATATACTTGCAGTAAAATTCTAACTGCTGACAGAACCTTCAGTACTCTACATGATCAAACCTCTGCTATCTTGCCGAACTAATCTGATATAAAATTCCTCCCAGTAAAATCATTTCCATGTTACATACAGCCTGATACTCACTGTTTTCTTTTCTTCTAATACTCTCCCCACTGATCTGCTCATGATTATTCATTTACCTGTTCAGGTCTGATTTGAAAAGTACCACTTTAGAGAGATGTTTTCAGACTATGCTATTTAAATTAATAACTCTCCCCAGAACCTATCCCATTATCTTATTATCTGTTTTGTAGTTTTCATGGAACACATTACTTCCTGAAACATTTACTTAATTATTTGTTTACTGATTTTATGACCTCTCCCTTTCCTCTGTTCCCACAATAAGATTTTGCATGGTTTGTTCTCAGTTGCATTTCTAGTGTCATGTAATGCTTTGTACTCTATATGATCAAACTTCTGCTATCTTGCCAAACTAATCTGATATGAGAAGAGGGTCAGTTGATATTGAAGAACAAACCTTGATGTTATGGTTTTGCACTTAAGTAACTTCTGCTTTTTGCTATCACATTTATGGTGCAGTAAACATCTTTGTATATAAAATTTTGACTAATGTCCTAATTATTTCCTAAGGCTTTGTCTCCTATAAATTCTTTTTCTTTTATAGTTTCAAATATTCTTAGACAACTTTGATGAAAGCATTATTAAAGATAACCCGTACTACTGGTTTTAATCTGAATGGCACTAGAGCAATAATAATTTTACATGAGCCTATTTAAATACATAATTGTGTTTTCTGTCTATTTACAAATGATCAGGTTTTTAAGTTTTAAATTATTCAGAAATTTATGTTAGCCGTGGTAGATACTGTGAATATATACAATGTAACAGAAAAATCTGGTATATACATATTAAAAATTCAGTCTATAAATATCTATAAATACAATAAATATAAAAATATAAAAATCAGTGACCTTCTTTGATTTTACCACAAAGTATCCAATAGTATTTGTAAGCACACTAGAGAATACTGAACTACTTGTAGGGATTAAATTATTAATGAATTCCTATGATATTTACAATTTGGTGTTGTAACTGTACTGTTACATCGAGAGGGAGCATAAATTAATGTTAAAGAACTTTAATACAATATATTGGTGCATTATAAAGTAAATATTCAAAAGCCATTTAGGAATATTACTTAATGTTCAGAAAAATCTAATAATACATCACAGTCATTATCTTGAATTTGACATTATTTTTGGACTTTGATTATTCAGTCTGTTTGTACAAGGTACTATTTAATAAACATCTATTCTGAAATCATAACATTTTCTATTTATGTAGCAGAATTTTCAAATCTCTTTAGATCACATAACACAATATTAATTTATTATGTAAATTTATATGTATGATTATATAAATTAGGTCACATGAAAGTAAATATAAATTATATATAATGTATAATTTAAAATATAAATTTATATTAACATCAATTTAATGTCAATATTATCATTTAGTAATGCAATTGTTTACTGGAATATTTTGAAACAAGTTGCTACAGTGCACACTGTTAATGAACTGACACTCAAGTTAATTTGTAAATGAGCATAATTTTGAGTTCATTCATAAGTTTATGTTCATAATTTTAGCTTAACTTCCTAAACATTTGTCAAAAATGCTATCATAAAATTTCAGACATAAAAACTTGAAAAAATTGTCTTGCCTAAACCTGTTCAGTTTCTTAGCATCCTTACCTCTGAGAGAAACAGTCTGCTTTGCCTGACATACTTCTTTTCTTTAGGAGGGGGACTTGAGACTAGCTAGGCAAAAAATTTTATAGAAGGAATTTGGGAGTGAGAAATAGGAGTACATGCAGGGTTTCAAGGACTTAGATGAGAGGGGGAAAAAAAAAAGGAAGCTTTCTATTGTCTTACATAGAGAAGGGATGGGAAGTGAAAGATTGTGAGTGATATTAAAATCACACCTTCATTGTTAGACTTTTCCAGTCTTCATAAGTGGACTACACACAATTTTATTCTATATTGTGGAAATGAATTGTTTTTATGGATGAATGCTATTGTTTCTTCAATTTTCAATAAACCATTGCACAATTTGTAATAAACTTATGTAATAATAAAAAGTATTTTCCAGAATAAAGCATTATTTTACTCTTATTTATTCTTCAGAATAAAGCATTATTTTTCAGTCAACTGAAATAGTTGATGTTTGAAGATTAAAAGAGAGTGGTCTCATTCATCTAAGACATTTAATAAATTATCTATGAAGTGCTAGAGAGTGTACAAATGTTTAAGAATGCAAAGGTAAGGCAGCCTCATTTATAATAAATGGAAAAACAGAGTTCATTTTATGAAAATCCTCTCTCATAAGGAAGGGGGAAAGGCAGAATATGAAAAAGAATTTACATTTCAGGTGAGATTTGAAAGATGAGAAAATGTTCCCCCCACAGGCAATGTTGGCAAACTGATAAATTAATGAAAAGGAGACAGGAGTTTAAGATGTTTTATAAAATGCAATTGGTTGGTATGTCTGCAGCACAGAGTAAAAGAAAAGCACACAGGATGGTCACAAGATGTTAAAAGTCATGAAATCCTAGTAGCTCAGTAGGCTGAGGCAGGAGGATGGCAAGATCAATAGCAACTCATCAAGGTCCTTTCTTTAAATAAATTGGAAAAAGGGATGGGGATGTGGCTCAGTGGTTAAACACCCCTAGGTTCAATTCCTGATACCAGGGGGAAAAAAGTCATAATATGAAGTTTAGATGTAATATTATGGTATGAATGGCAATTAAAGACTTTAAAATTGATATTTGCAAAAATTATGGAAAAAACAAATGAAAGGAAGAGAGACTATTAAGAGAATATTATATAGTTCAGGTAGTTCAGGTAGGAAAGATACTGAAAAATACAATATATCACATTACTCTTGGTTACCAAGGGCAAAGGAGGTACGTAGAAGTGAGTCATTCTGACTAACATTTCTGGTTTAGACGAAAGGTTAGCCCTTTGAGAATTTGACTCTGGGGTTCAGGAGAAAGACTAAACTTGGATTTAAGATGTTTATGGCTCCTCTATTTAGAGAAATTCATGAAGACACTGGCTTTGTACATTGGGAATTGATAAGTGACAACTGGAATTTTTTAAAGAAGTAGTTATAAAGATTTTTCTCTCAAAAATATTTTGAAATGTATCCACACTGATTTTCATGTGATGATTTCTAATAGACTATCCACATCCTTCAACTGATATAATTTTCTCATTTCAAATTTACTAATAAGATGATATAAACATTTTCTGAGCATTTGAAAGCCCAATAAAAATAAAAAAATAGAAATAGCAACTAAATTATAGCAATTATGCTTTTCATGTGAAAAACTTAAACAACTATGAATTAAATGATCATTTTAACTGTTACAATTAAAAATTGAAAAGAATTAGCATTATGTTACCTGATAAATATAGATAGCCAGAGTAGCACAATATGCAAACCTGTCTCCATTGGCAGCACACACATCTTTGTTCCATGGCTGACATCCAGCAGCCAGCAATCCCACTTGCCTTACCTGGGACATGCTTGCCTTGAAAAACAAATTTGAAGAAAGTTTCAGTAATTCTTATTATTGGACAAACACTATCATTTTTCATGTCTTCTCTAATCCACACCTTTGTGCCCTGAAAAAAATGTTACTACTATAGATCTCACCATACATTTTCAGAGAAAAGGAATTGAAATTCCCCAATACTTGTAGACCTCAAAACATTTTACAGGAGCAAGAGATCATAAAATGATGAATTACATGAGATACTTGGCCAAAGGCTGAGAAACCTATAAGGAGTTATAGGAACTATAGTGGAAGAGAAGGCACACATTTTACCTATGTAAACAATTTTAGTGCCATTGGAAATAGCTATCCCATATGCCAGATAAATGGAACTTCTGAGAAAAACTGAAATATCCATATTTTTCTGTTATATGTACCAATTTTTAAATACTGGTATTTCATTTAAGGCAGCAAATTCAAATTTAAAACAGTGTGGGCTAGTGTTGGTGGGATTCTGACCTCTGTCACAGAACTACATGCGTTTTACATAACTCTTTATGCTCACAAAAAGTATTTGAAGTACACAAGATAGATATAGAAGCTGGATCAATAACATTGCTCACTGTTAAAAGAGGGGTCAGAAAAAGGTTGGAAAATAGTTTATATTTGAATAAGAATGGATTATGGCACAAGGCAGAAGATGTTTCTGTTACCAGTCCCAGAAATCAGACCATGAAGCATGGCAGAAGCAGCCCAAAGCCAAGACTAAATAAATAAGAAATGAGACCCAGCTTTGCATCAAGCACAGAATACAAGTTGGAGTCAGCCATCAACCTTAGGTCTCTATTTCTTGAATCTAAAATATACTTTTGAACTGCATTTTCTACAAGTGTTCTCTCAGTTCAAAAATTCTATGAATCTAAGTGTAAACTCAAGATTCTTCTAAAATACTGGAGAGAAGAAAGTATAAACACCATAGATGATTTATATTTATAGAAGTGAGTCTGATTGTAAGTTTTATGATCATATTGAAAATCCATCAAACTGGAAAATAATACTAAGGCCAAAAACATACCTAGGCAGAGTGCTACTCTATATAGTTATCTCATGAATGACATCCACAAAAAAATTATTGCCAAAAAAAAACTTCCTTTAAAAGGTAGAATTTATACCATCATTATATAGTTAATAGCCAATATCTAGTCTACATCTAGTTTATGATGTTCAAAAGCTTTATATTATTTTAACAGAATAATGTTAATGTCAAAATCAAAATATGTAAAATCATCACATATACAAAATATATCCATGTAAGATGTAGGGTAAGAGTTTCTAGGTGCTTGTTCAGTGTATTCCCTGGAACCCTAAAACTTAATAATAGCTGTAGTCTTCTCTTTCTACTCTGCTACCCAGAAATTTAAAGCAAGCTATCCCAAATCATTGATAGCTCATACAGTTATGGAAACCATAACTTAGTGTCTCTTTATTATCTGCTTTCTTGGTGTCTCTCATTAGCTTCTTCAGTGTGTGTGTGCATGTGCGTGTGTTGCAGAGGACAGAACCCAGGGCTTCACACATGCTACAAAAGCACTCTACCACTGAATACATTCCCAGCTCTCTTCTTCCTTAATGTTAAGAAATTAGTAAATGTCAATCAGTTATATCTTCTCCAATGTACCATTAACATTAATTTACAACACTACTTTCTTTTATTTTTACTCTTTCATGCTTCTGCATCTGGAAATAATCTACTTTCTTCTCCAGTTCTTTGTTCTTGTCCCACAAAACCCCTTATCTGGATAGAACCAGTGAAAAGTTTACCAGAAGTAAATAAATTATTTGAAGTGAAAAATTGTCATGATAAAGAAGCAGTACTATCAATATTTGAGAGCTTACAAATATTCCAAAACTTCTACAGAAAAATCCTTTCTTCCTCCTCTAATGACACTACATTTCTTCAAGAGATAGCATTCAGTATAAATTAATATATATACATATATATATATATGTATATATATATAGTGGGTTTTTTCCAATTGGTTATTTTACAGTAATATTCTTTTCACTGAAAATGTCATTTCAGCCTCAGTGTAAATGAAATAGGTTTGTAGATTGTGCTAGAGATCTATGATTGCTATATATATATAGCAATTATAGCATTTCTATGTAAGTAAAAATGACTGCTGATTTGCTTAATAAAATATTGAGTTTATATTTAGAAAGGAAATAGAGATCTTTAAAAACAAATGTAAATCAGAGTCATTTAAAAATTTTAACTTTCTGCTAAATTTGTACATTTTTAAAAAATAAGTCATTTTTAGAACAGTTTTAGGTTCATGGCAAAATTGAGCAAAAATATAAAGCATCCCCAAATACACTTTGTAGCCTTCCCTTTCCTTATAACACAAGCTCCCCAACTTTCAACATTCAGTAGGAGGTGATACTTTTATTACAATGGATGAAGTGATACTAATGTATCATTGTCAAAGTCCATAGTCTACATTAGGGTTCTGTCTTAGTATTCTACTATTGGTTCTGACAAATGTACAATGACACTGTAGTATATTGTTTAGAGTGATTTTACTGCCCTAAAATGTCTTCTGACCTCTGCCTATTCATTCCTGTCCCTTGCCAATTTGGTTACAACTAATCTTTTTACTTTCTCTATACTTTTGCCTTTTCAAAGTGTCATATAGTTACAATGATACAGGACCTACCCTTTTCAGATTAGCTTCTTTCAGTTAGCAATATACATTTAAGTTTCCTTTATGTTTTTCATGGTTTGAAAAAACCCAATTCTTTTCTTCTTCAATCTTAAAATCCTTTTTTTTATCATGGTAAAATAAATATGACTTAAAATTTACTCTTAACAATTTTAAGTGTACAGTTCAGTAGTATTAAATATATTCTTATTGTGCAACCATCAACTATCACTGCTATTCATCTACAGGAATCTTTTCATTTTATAAAACTGAAACTCAAAATCCATAAACAATTATCCCTCATCCTCCCCTTCTTCAGCCCTTTACAACCACTATTCTAAAGCTGTCTATGATTTTGACTGCTAAAGTAACTTATATATGTGAAAAAATACATATCTGTCTTGTTGTTAGTGGCTTATTTCATTTTGCATAATATGCTTAGATTTAATCCAGATTGTAATGTATCTTAGAATTTCCATTTTTTTAAAGGCTGGATAATATTGTAATGTGATATTTTATTTATCCAATACATGATAATTTGCTTATCCATTCATCAGTGAATAGATGGCTGAATTGCTTCTACATTAGCTATTGCAAATATGCTAATATGAATATGTAGAGTGGGGAGAGACAGAGGGAGATCTTTAAGATGCTCCTTTTAATTCTTTGGGATATGTGTCCCAAAGTGGAAACATCTGTACTATGTGGTTATTCTATTTTTAATATTTTGATAAATTTTCACATTTTCCAATTCAGCTGCTACATTTTACATTCCCACCAGAAGTGTTCTGATTGCTTTACATCTTTTTACATCTTTACCAACTCTTGTTATTTTCTATTATTTAATAGTAACCACTCTAAAGGTATGTTACTTTGATTCACATTTCCCTAATGATTAGTGATGCTGACCATATTTTCATGTGCTTATTTGGTCATCTGCATATCTCCTTTGGAAAAAAGTCTTTTTGAATACTTTGCCAATTTTGAATCTAGTAAGTCTTGTTTTTTTGTTGTTGTTGTTGTTTTTTCTCTTTTTTTTTTTTTTTGCTGTTGGCTTTAGAAGTGCTCTACATATTTGAGATAGTAGTCTCTTATCAGATATGTTTTGCAAACTTATTTTCTCATTCTGTGGATTCCCTGTTTGATCTGTTGGTTGTTTTTCTTGATGAACAACTTTTTAATATTTATAAAATCCAACTTATCTATTATTTCTTTGAATGCCTATGCCTTTGGTATCATATGTAAGAAATTATTGTCAAATCCAATGTTGTAAAGCTTTTACCCTGATTTCCTCTAAGAGACTTATAGTTTGGGGTCTTACATTCAGGTTTTGAGTCATTTTAATTTTTGTACATTATATTTTATAAGAGTCATCATTACTTTGTTGTTCATTAGTGGAAAAGACTGTCCTATCCCCCATTAAACAGTCACTGCACCCTTTTTAAATAACAGGTAACTTTATGCAAGGATACACACACACACACACACACACACACACACACACACACACACACACACACCACACTCTGAGATATATATATTACATATATACTCTTTAGAATAGCAGTTGTAAGGTGCTGAAGAAGGAGGCAGTGAGGGATAATTGTTTATGGCTTTTGAGTTTCAGTTTTACAAAATGAAAAAAAAATTGGAAATGAATGGCAGTAATGGTTGGTGGTTGCATAATAAAATACATTTAGTACTATTGAGGTATAGTACACTGAGGTGTACACTTAAAATTGTTAAGAGTAAATTTTAAGTTATATTTATTTTACCATGATAAAAAAAAGATTGAAGAAAAAAAGACTTGAGCTATCAAACCAATTTGAATTTCTATTATTTTATCTAGTTTCCTTACTACTTATAGGACTATTCAAATTCTTAATTTCTTTATGGTATAGTCTTGGTTAATTGTTTGTTTCTAGGAGTTTGTTGATTTTATCAAAGTTGTCTAATTTGTTGGTGTATACTTCTTAGTATTGTTTTGTAATATCCCCACTTTTCCTTATGATTTTAATAATTCAAGTCTACTCATTCCTTTTCTTAATCTATCATAATAAAGGTTTTTCAATTGTGTTCATCTTTACAAAGAATAAACTTTTGGTTTCATTGATTTTCTCCATTGTCTTTCTATTCTCCATTTCATTTATTTTTACTCTGAAATTTATTATTTTTTTTATTATGTTTTGGTATGTTATGTTTTTACTTTTCATCTCTAAGTATCTTCTATTTTCCCTTGTAATTTCTTCTTTCACGTATAAGTTGTTTTGAGGGTATGTTGCTTAAATTTCATGAATTTGAGAATTTTCCAGTTATTTTTTTTTTTGTTATTGC